AGAAGGAACAGATCTGGGATCAGGAGCAGGCAGCAGGACGTCTGCAAGCTCGACTCTGGCTGTTCCTCACAGTGATTGCAGTGATTTCCCACTGCCCTGCTACCCCACACAGGGGGAGGCAAAATCCCACACCTTCTTCCAAAGCCTCTGTTTGTGCCCTGCAAAAGAATCACTGCCTGAATGCAGCGCTCAGTGACAACCTGCCCACAGAGGAATCGTGACAGTTTTGGTTTGGGCCTTCTAAAGTGAATGACTGATAGGATGATTCTCAGCTGTACCAGACAGACACATGTTCTTATTTCTCTCAGTCTTTTGTCTATCAGAGGCTATATAATCTGTTTGTATAGGAACAGGGCATTTGATAATTATATGCCTTTCCAATGCTGCGAATCAGTGGTTAAAAAAAAAAAGAAAAAGAAGTTTCAGCTCAATTTTACAAGCAAATTTTTCACAAGCAATCCTTTTCCTTCTCTTATGACAGTCACTGCCAGGGCTCAAAAGCTGCAAAGGGAAAGCTTCCTGTGGTGACAGTGCCTCAACATTCTGGGCTACTTCAGTTTCATTTACTGAAGTAATAAAATTGCAGACTATACCAACTATTTCTCCAATTGACTAGAAACTGCTGACAGAAAAAAAAAAGTGAAAACTCTGCAACTTAATCCCCACTTCCCTTCTGTTTTCCAGACAACCCTAATGAAGTAATCACAACCATCCCCAAAATTTGTGGAGCACTGCAACAAAGATGAGTCTGCAAAATTCTAATTACGTTTTAGATGTCATTAGGTTCAGGCTCTGTCTTTACCATTCCCTGTGCACTGTGATGATAATAAAGGACCTCATTCCTATGCTGTGTAAAGGTAGGTGAAGGGGTAATGCCAAATGCTGCATCACCTGCTCTCAGTGGGATGTGATAAAGAAGGAATTTGGACTTTGTCCCTTTCCGGTTCCAAGTGGAATCACTCCTGCTTCCTGTGCAGGAGGCTGTTTCCCTCTGCACTTCAGTGGGTGACAAATTTAATAGGAAATGATTAAGTAAAAGCAAAGGGTTTTGATAAGAGGTTTATTTTTCTTCGAGGCTTTTGATAGTTTGTTTTCAGAAAATAACACTTCTTTAAGGAATTTCTACGCATCTTCAGCCTCCGTTAAGGCTGCTGCAGAATTTCCTGTTTTTGTGTTCTCAGAACTGCTAAACTGCTGAAATTGCCAGTAAAGACCAGGGTGTGTTATCCAGAAGAGGTGGAGTCTATAGCAAATCCAGATTCTTCACTGATATTCTCAAATGAGTGTATGACTATACAGAAGTTAGAGCTATTCCTCCTCTAACCTCCCAGATGGAGTCAGTTCCCAACCCTTTGTGTTTATCTCCTGTCATCTACCTTTCCCATGGATGAAGCTGTGGATTTTGTTGCCTGAGTTGCTTCAAAGCCATCTGTAAACATTTACATATAAAAAGGTATTAAGGTATTCTTAAAACATGTTCTAAGCCCTGGGTGCAGAGCTCTGAAACACACAAACCCTGGAAGCAGCTTTGCTGCTCCCTTAGATGTCAGAGCCAGGTCTCAGGGTGAGCAGAGTGAAGAATCTCATACTTACAAGGGGCAAGATCCTGATCAGACTCCCAGCTGGAAAGCTGCTCCAGAGTAACACCAGGCTGAGGGTAGATGCATGGTCAACAGGGAGAAAGTCTAGATACTCTCAGAGGAGTTTATGGCTCTGCAGACCTCCCCGGGAGTGCAGATCCAGTGTGATGGATGGACGCACTTAACTCATCAGAACAAATGCTGTCAGCAGCCAGGTGGCCAACAGGAACCTCCCGAGATCCAATTATACAGGATCAAGAGTGCAATTATGGTCTTTTCAGGCACATATTCGCAGGAGCTGGGATTCTCAAAAGCTCCTGGGCAGCCCCTCAGGGTTGTCCAGGCCAGAGTGGAGGTGGAGGAGGTGGAGGGGGCCCAATAGCCCATGGACAGGTTTGGGGCACCAGTTGTGGTGTCCCCCAAAAAACCAGCAATGGTTTGGTGCCAGCAACACCTCAGCCCAACAGGTCACGTGCAGCCAGGCCTCTCCCTTTCTGTGACCCCCTGCATGGTTCCTCATCCTTCATGGACACTTTTCAGCCCACAATATTCCCCACCACAGTACTCCCACCATGGGAAAGCCCAGCAGGGCCACAGCAGCCATCACACACCTACTGTCCCTGAACACAGGCACAGGAACCCAGCCCTCAGCACTGCCTCAGTGTCTCTCTGTCCCCTAAAATGTCAGGGGAAGCATAACAAGTCTGCCAGTCCCCCTCTCCACCCTGGGGACAGGAGACTTTGGGCAGGTGGTTGGTTGGACATGGAGATGGGTCTGGGACATGGAGATGGGTCTGGGACATGGAGATGGGTGTGGGACGTGAAGATGGACCCTCACTGCAGCCTCTGCATGACCTCCAACAGGGCCCCCTCACAGACAGCCCTCAAGAGACAGCCACTAGACAGGGCAGGCTGGAAAACCACCAGGCTTTTGGGTTTTTTGTTTTGATCTGTAGACAATGCTTACACCAAATAAGTAATAGCTGCTAAAGTGCAATTACCTGGTGTGTGTAATTAGCGGCTGGCTAATGGATGGACAGTTTGGGACCGGAGATCATGTTGTCCTGCTGGGGCTGAGCATGGTGGGGTCAGCGCAGGGCAGCTCTGCCAGGAGTTATCTATAAAACCTTCCTGAAAGGCAGTGCAGTTACACATCTGGACACCTTCCAGAGAAGAACAATCGAGCTCAGATACACTTCCATGGAGATAATTTGCTTTCAGGTCAGGAAAACCTGCAGCACACAACCCCTGTGTGCAGTGGTGAGCTTGGCTCACTGGGGGCTTGTCCTGGGAACAGCAGGATGGACACCTGAGGCAGAGCCAGGAACTCCACCTGGGAACCTGCTCTCTTATTGAGGGGGAGAGAAACATCTGTCCATTGGAGGGAAGCATTTCTTACACAAAAAGTAGCAATTTTAATCCATTCCCTTTTATATTTATGAGATATATCTATATTAAGCACTATCTGCTTAAAATTCTTATAAAATGCCTACATGAAACACATCTTAAGATCCTTGAAACAGTCTGAGCTGCTTCAAAAGGTCTTACAAGCCAGAGCTTATTTGTTGACAAGTCTCTAAATGCAATGTATTGCTTTGGCTGCTCTTTTCCTTTATCTTGGACTGTAGCCTCTTCCAAAGCTTTGATTTCCAAATGACTTGTTAAGCTTTACCGGGCCCGAACATAAAAGCTGTACTTTTATGTTTCTTATATGGCATGTGGAATGCGGAAGCTCAACTTAACTGGGGATGCATCTCCTAAGACCTTTCTTCCTCTGGGGGCTCCATGTGTTCCTGCTTTATGAGAAGGCTGACTGGCTTCTTCAAAGCTTGTGTTGTTCCTGTTATCAGAGGGGAATCAAACAATTGGGGCAGTTTCTCAGTGGGAGGCAGTGCCAACACTAACCGTTATTTCATCTGCAATAATAGCTCCGTGGCATGAGGGGCATCTACAGCCAAACTCACTGTTTTTCTTGTTTTTCTGCCAAGAGGATTTCCTGATTCCTGAAATTAGCCCCACTGCCAAGTGATATGGTCCAGTCACGTGGTCAGCAGTCCTAATGGCCTCGGGAATGCAGAGTGCAACCAGCACGGACCTGCTCCTAAGGAGTGGACTGGGGAAGGGTTGCTCTCTTCCACAGAAGGTCTGATCTATCCATAATATAATATTGATATCTACACTGTTTATAATATAGTAATATAAATGCAGTCTAAATTTTCATCCTGGAAAAGAGAAGGCTTTGGGGTAACCTAATTGTGGCCTTCCAGCACCTGAAGGAGCTACAAGAAAGATGGAGAGAGACTTTTTGCAAGAGCCTGGAGTGACTGGACAAGGGGGAATGGCTTCAAACTGACAGAAAGTATGGTTAGATTGGATATTGGGGAAAAATTCCTCCCTCTGAGGGTGAAGAGGCCCTGGCACAGGCTGCCCAAAGAAGCTGTGGCTGCCCCCATCCATGGAAGTGTCCAAGGCCAGGTTGGACGGGGCTTGGAGCAACCTGGGCTAGTGGAAGGTGTCCCTGCCCATGGCAGGGGGTGGAATGGGATGATCTTTAAGGTCCCTTCCAACCCAACCCATTCTGAGATTCTATGATGTAATTGAGTAGCCAGAGCATACTTTTATTTGAAAAATGCCCAAATACTATTCTAGCACAGAGGCAATTACAGCAGTGTGAAGTCAGCAGTCTATTCTCTGCTCTGGTAACACACACTGTGCTGACATCTGGCACTTTCATACCACTGTGTAACCATGGTGGTTGTCTCCCTGTATGTAGCCTTACATGCATTGATTTAATTAAAGCTCGTGTAATGTAGACAAAGCCTAAAACTTCTTTTTTTTTTTCCTCTGTGTGTGTGTAGCAGGGCTGGACAGAACAAGCCCAGTTCTTCTCTCATTGCTGGCATAACCGGGGATGCACCAGAGTCACTGGTCCCACACAGATGTGCAAGAAGGACATTACAAATCAGGTTGGAGATCTGTAAACGGTCCCTCTTGATTGATATCACTTTATATGGCATGAGAGGCCCACTGTGCCAGGGAGGGGAACAGAAAGTACCATTAGAGCTGAAGAACCTTTTGTCTGTGCTCCCTGTGCACAGAACCAGCAGCAAGTTTTGGTTGTTCACCCCAACTCTGCAGGTTTGCAAAAGCACAACCTACCTACAGTGGCTCATGGACAAACAAAGCTCTTTACCTCTGTCCTCTCTGACTAGTTAGAACTGGAATTCTGTGGATTTTAGAGAATTCTCCCCTGATTTCCAGTTATAATCTTCACTCCAATAAAGAATGAATAACAGCTATTCCCTCCAAGGCAGGGGTTGGATGTGCTCATTTCTGCCTTAATGTCACATCAATCATCAGACCACAGGATAAATAACAAACTTTGTTTTAAAATTAAAGCAGCAAAGGATCTTTTTTTCCAAAGGATAAGCATTAGTTTATTTAAAGATAAGGAGGTCAAAATATACACTACTGTATCATTCAGATGCTAGTGTGGATTAAAATATCAGGCCTGTGGCTCCCTGTACAGGTTTGCCCAGGACTGAACAAACAGAAATCTTAATTTTCTGTAAAATTTATTAACTACAGTTATTATAGGAGTCTTGTGAAGCAGGGAGGTGCCTGGACAGCTTTGATTTTGGTTTTTATTAGGATTAATTACAAGTACGGATATAAACAAATATCTGAACAAACAACTAAGTTTCCTATGATCTGAGAAACATTAATCCCAGGATTGTAGGTACAGCCTGGTGTTAGGAGTGCACGGGGACGTGGGTGCCCTCTTGTGTTCCTATTAGAACCTTAAATAGCTTTTAATTTGTTATCCCACCTCACCCAGACGAGAGAGACGCTGTCTCAATCACGTAAAGCCTTTACATTTTAGCGTTTTAATTTCCATTAATAACCAATAGGAAGCATAACTTTATAACCACTGATTCTATTATTCTGCAGGCTTTTTTTTTTTTTAGCTAATTTCAGCTCTATTGAGAAACCACAAAAAGTGACTCGGTTGTTTTTACATTTGAGTATAACATTTATCAAAGGAGATTTTTTTGTTTTTCCTGGCTGCTTTAAAGCTCTCTAAAGCGGAGGGTTTGTTGCTCATGCCTTGCTGCCCAATCTACATTCTTTTGTCACATGCATTTTTTTCCTGCCTTTTTTTTTTAGTTCACTGCCACCTTCCTACCTTACATACCCTACCCTCTACAGATTTAAAATCATCCACACGACCTTTCTTTAAACATACAACACTGTGCTTGGTGATCTTTAGAGTTGCTTTCTAACATCTAAGGAACAAACCCTGTAAATGATATACCTTAAATGATACACCAGTGTTTGCTTTAGCCTCAGGCATTTGATGACAGCCATGTAAAGGAAGGGAATGAGTCATGTCTACTGCAAGGGAGCTCACAGAGAGCTGCTGAGCCTCCAGCAACCACGTGGAGTCATTACTTGGATTTCCCAGCAGGTAGGATGGACACTGGATCTGTTTGCACCTCTGCATCGGACATCCTTTTGGAACCCTGTGGAATAAGAGAGAGATCTTTAGAAACACTTTCAAATACTTCAGAATGCTTAAGTCTGGAATTTTGTCTTAGGGTTTTGCTACCAGACATTTCCCACTCCTTTCACCTCCCTGCTTTTTTTTGTTTGCCCTTTATTTAATAGGCATAAGTATATGAGCACTACCTGCATCACGAGAATCCCAGAAATCTACTGCTTGTGATTTTGCCTAAATGTGTCGGTTGTTTTAATATAATTTTCTCAACTGGCATGGAAAACAATTGTTTTCAGACACTGGACTAACACACCAGAGCCAAGCTGCTGTGCTTGCAGTACTGGGTTTTTGGCATAACTTTCTCTAAAATTTCCCTGGCCTAAATGCTTCACTGAAACCATGCTAAGAGTCCTTCAAGCATGATTAATAGTGTATTATAGCCAGCCTTGGTCTGCTCTAGGTTAAGGGAACATTAAATACTTTTATGCATGACAGGTATTCTACAATGTTAGAGTGATAAAGCTTCTCTTACACTGCAAATATAATTCTGGGTTTGGCACCAGTTCAAGACACTAATCCAGCTTAGATGAAGGAAAATGTATAGCTCCAGCTATACCAACTACATTTTTCACTGGTAACTGATAAAAACTTGGCTTTAGTTTAAGGTGCTTGACCTAATTTTACCGGCCTTGAAGTCATCAAAGCCTCAGAACGTGACAGCAAAATGGACCCACAAACAGTGTTTCAGAGGTCACTGTTAACAGTGCATGGGATGCCCAAATCATTACATGCTAAACAGAAAAACCAGCATGACAAAGCTAAAGGTAACTGCTGTGTGCTTTCCCTACAATGGGAACTGTGCAGATTCATATGTGAATTGTCCTTTCACACAGTCTGTTTCTGCTGGAAACCTGACTCATCACTTCAGGACAATTCTGTGTCAGACATGGAGAGTGAAAGATTTCAACTTCCTCACCCCTTTCAGGGAAGTAAAAACAGTAGGGTTTTTATACTGATTACACTCCACCTCACTGATCTTCTTTTAAATTTTCACCTTTGAGAATCTAAGTATGAAAAAGAGCAGCCAAAAATCACAATGGACTGAAAGAATCTCCTGTCTTAACTGTAACCTTGTGCAGCTCAACTGGCTGCAGTGGGTTTGCTTCTGCTTCCACTGATGTCGAGTTTGGAAGGTTCTCTAGAGCAGAATAAAATTTTTTGGCCATTTACATGCAGCAACAAATCCATCATTTATCCATCAAACAATACCAAGGACCTAGTCATTCCAAATTTATCCAGCAACCCTAAAAACCTACACATCAGGTAAAAGATTTCCCACATTAAGAGTAATGGAGTCTGTCAGCTATAGCTGTTCCTGTCTGGGCACGAAGATATTAAGCCACTTCTAGACTAATCTAGGAAACAGTATGATACTATTTGCCATTCTTCCTATAAATAGGTGGAGGGAGGAGACAGGAGGGGGAGCTCATTTGAGATAATCCCCATTTTTGACTCATTTAGCACATTTGCAGTGGTGTCATGTTATTTGCTCATACTGCAGCCTCCCTGCTGCAACCATTTTCAAGGTGGTTGCTGATTAAAGCAGGAAGCTCTGAGGGAGACTGGCTGATGATTCTCGTTAAACTGGAATTTCCAAGCCAGGTGTGAAATAAAGAACTTTGTTCCTACCCTTTCAACGGAAAAATTCCAGCTCTGCCTTCGGATTCAGCAGCACAGGTACCACTGGCTCCTGTCTTGCAGTGCAGTGGAAGTTGGCAGCTAAGTTGGAATATATTATTTTGGGCAGAGTACTTTAAAAGGCACACGCAGGAATGTCATGGTATTGGAGTATATATTTTTTCCCAGATTTTGCCCAGGAGAAGCCTGTGTCAGTGGGGCAGATACTCTGGGCAGAACAGGTCCCAATAGTTTCCACATGCTAAGCTCTCCCAGCTTCTGACAACTTGAGCATGAGTTATTCCAGCTCAGAAAACAGCGTCATTAACCTTTTCCCCCCCCTCCCCTTTTCTGCTTCTTTCTAATCTAATCTCTCTAAGACTCACTAAATACATTTTATATAGCTTATAAATTAATCTCTTTTGCCATAGGAACAACCACTGGACCTTATCAGCTGTGCTGAAACCACGCAGGACTGGAACACTCTTTGCTTGCACAAGTGGCGTCATTTGTAGCCAAAATTTCAGCCTTTGTTGGCCCCACAGGGAGCAGATGCTGGAACTGCAGTGTTCTCATCAGCTGCATTCCTGCAGTCTGACATCCTCTTGCTCTGTGCCCTTTCCCAGAGGAATCGAGATCCAGGAGAGAGTGGTGTTAAAATATCTGCTACTGAAATAGCAGAACGGGAGGAGCTCAGTGGGCACAGGGCACGGGAGCTGCTGCAGCCCCTGTTAAATATTTCCTCCTTCCCTTTTATCAGCATAAAGCCGAATTTTTCTGCTGACTTGCCACCAAATACTCAAGCTCTTATCTTGAAATGGAGATTCTGGCATTGGTTTGTGCGTGTGATCTAATACTTTGAGATTAATGATTACACCTTCCTGGGGCTGAGTCTGATCACCTGGGAGATGTAGATTATTTTTAGGAGCGTGGCAGAACTGGGTTTCTTAGGTATGGATAATCTTCCTGAGGATATTCAAAGAGAGGTGGTAATTTTTCATGAGAGATGTTCCATACACAGACCTCATTGTAATGGGTTTGGTTTTTTTTTTCCCCTGCCACTTTAAAAGCACAATAAACTGACTAAAGTAGCTTAACTGTTATCAAATACTTTTTTTTAAGAGCCATCTTCTGTTAATGGGAGAAGGAAGCTGCAGGAGTGCTGTTGGCCTCTATAATTGCAACACAAGATAAGGAGTTATACAGCCAAACTGAGGCAAGCAAAAAGATCTCACAGAACATCTCTACTTCCTCTACATTTATTCCGTGTTTTATTCCCCAAATGGTCTTTTTACCTCTTCACAATCTCCTCTCTTGATCTAAAAGCTTTTTCTTGCCTTTTGAATCTGAGACACCTTTCCTGCCTCTCTCTGTGTCTCTCATGATGTTGCCCTTGAAAGACTGTTTCCTTGTTAACTTGCACTTCCTCATATCTCCCTTTCCGGAATAATTTTAAATTTGTAACTGTTGCTAAACTCTACGAAGGATTTTTGGATACAGCTTGAATGAATGACACTATACAAAATAAAGAGTGACTATCAACGGATAAACCCTTTCTCACACAGTGACAACTACAACAAGGGAGGGCTTAACTTCAACAAAACTTCAGACCAGAGAAACAAATCTCACTTTTCTCTGGAAATAATAGTGGCAGGTAACATTTGCCTAATTTCTAGACAACCTGTGCTAGAAAAATGTGGCTGCCCTCATCCCCTCCAGCTGACATGAGATATGTCACCACCATCCAAGCAGCTTAAGTAACAGCAGCCCTGCTCCTCCTGGAAGCTGGCAGTACCCAGAGCAGGATATGACACCCACACACCATGTTTGTAAGCATGGATCACGTTACACCCCTGCACCAATGTTGGGCACAATGAAAATCCACACAGAATTTGGGGGCAAAGGGGGGCGAAGAAAGAAAAACACATGAGTGTGTCTTTGGTAGCTTCAGTCAGCTCACAGCTTCACAGAGCTGTATAACCAGTATCATCATATAACTCTGGCTTTTTCATGGCTTATTAAGCAAAAGGATTTCTCATCGTGGCTTCACTGGGAGACAAGATAAGCAGAAGCCAATGCAAGTTGGTTTTTACTCCAGGTGAGCTCCTACTCTTTGCTCCATTGAAACTACCCACTGATCTATGGTGGACCAAGATTTTACCCCAGAACAACGAGGCTGAACTGTTGCTAATCTCTACTGCAGGAAGTTATTTCTCTTTTGTTCTTAATTCCCCTTGTAATATGTCCTTGCTTTGGTGATGCGAATCGCCCTCTGTAGGATACACAGTAATTCTGTGAAATGGTGCAAATAAAGCACTTCTGATGTGGAAAAACATCTGCCTTGGAACGAGTCACACTGGTGTGCATGGCAGTGGCTTTATAACCCAGTGTCCTAACTGGGCTGGTTTCCAGCTCTGAGTCAGTATTTCAATCTATATTGCCTGACTTTTCTTCTTGAAGGATTGGTCTGCTCTGCTTCTGCCCTGACAGCCTTAGAAGTGAGGAAGGGAGGAAGGACAAAGCAAGCTGCACACCTCTTAGGGCAGCCAGATTCACTAGGAGTCATTGCAGGCAACAGACACATCTGTTGAGTTTCTTTGCATCACTTGAAAGTTGTGGTGAAGTTTGGTTTGCACACTAAGTTTCCAAAAGATGCTAAAAATGACCCCACAGCACTGCAGATCCATTGTTGCTGTGGCAATGGGAGGAAAGAGGTTTAAGCTGCATCCTTCCAATTGATTTATAAAAAGCCTCTTGCCAAGGCTTAAGAGGCAGTCCCAGGTCTAACCTGTGCTTCTGTTTCTACATGTGCCCCTGAATACAGACAAGCAGAAAAATAAATCTCCATCTATTAAATGCTCTGACCAGTTGCACCAGTAACACCAAGTCTTCTGGAAATGCAGAGTTTCAGTGTGCTGAATTCTTTCATTTCTGCATTTCAGGTTTCAGTGAAGGGGGCACAGCGAATTTAGGCTAAGATTTAACAAAAAGCAATAAGAAAAAAATACCATGTGTACTTTTTGTGTGCTTTAACGAGTCTATCACTGATTGCTGACACAAGGTGCTTATCTTGTGACCACTGTGCTGGTTCCTACCCACCCCAGTGGTCTCCCTTGGTTTTTTCCTTGCAGGGATTTCCCATTTTGCAAGGATACCCTAGCTGCTCCGAAGCAGACACTGAACCACCATCAGGGTGGTTTAGAGCAGGCAGGTTACTCTGGTAAACCAGCACCACCTCCACTTTTCCCTTATAAACACACCCTAATTTGTAGGTGGTTCAGTGCCTGCTACAGGAGCAGTGTAGTCATCCCCATAGCCAAGGCATGAACCCCAAAAACAGTGGTGTGGGAACAATTACAGCTCTCCCATAGCAAACCCTACCTGTGAATCAGTACCTTGAGGCCCAAAATTCCCTCCTTTGCCCGAAATCTTGCTGTTCTTTTGCCCAAGCCCTGCAAAGCTGCCTGTGAAGCTGCGCTCCCTCAGAGCACAAATCCCCCGTGGATAACAACCTACAGGCTGGGCAGTTAAACAGCTGGGAAATACCAAAAAGAGAAGGTGAATTAACATACAAGGCCCTTGAAAAACCCTCCCAGGGACTGCCTCTTCTCTGTCTTCTTGTAGGAGGGTTCCTTGGAAGCGTCTCCTCCGTTCTGGATGGAGTCGGTGTCGGCTGCCGGCTGCTCCCGGGGGTCTGGCTGCTCCCTGCTCTCCTGTTTGCTGCCCTTCTGCTTGCTCAGCTCCACCGTGGACTTCTTGTCTTTGGAGCTCTCCTTGCTCCTCTGGCCCACCAGGTCACCTTCAGCCGGGGCAAGTGGCCTCTCTGTGGCGTTTAACGTCTGCAGCGGTGTCAGACAAGGGTTATTTTCAGTGGGAAATATGAATATTTTGGAAGGCAATCCATAAATGTGTTAAAAAAACCCCACAAAACCAACACCAAAAAAAAAGGAAAGACCACCTGGCAGGGAGAAAGCCTGCTGTCCAACAGGTTTTCATTTACAGAGGTTGGGATGAACTCCTGCAGCCTCTGCTCAAGGGAAAGGCTCCCAGGAAGCTGATGGAATTACTCACATGAGCAAAGACTGCAAGATCAAACCATCCTGCACAAACCTGCCTTATTTCTGTCTGTGTCTCTACTGAAGCTGGTTTAGAAGGCAGAGAACATGCACAGAGAGATGCAGAGTCACAAGGAGGCACTGCCCACTAAGACTCCTCCAGATTTTGCATCCCAAAGAGTGAATGCACCCAAAAAGGGCAAGGGAAAGATTTGGGAGAGAAAAGAAGCAAAAGGCACCATAAAGCAAATGATAAAAACAAATCTGTTGCAAAACTGCAACACTCCACCCAAAAACTAAAAGCACAGGGTTTGGCTATGGAAGGCCACAGCATCTTAGAAAATTTCATGTACAAGTGCAAAAGAAGAGACAGCAAATCTTCCAAAGAAACACAATCACAGATCAAACTATTCATAGTATAGAAAACTTGGAGAAGTGCAGGATATGTTTGAAGTTCACAGGAGAAGAATCATATGTGGCAAACAAATGATCAGACAATGAAAGTGTCACTGTTTGGAGAGTAGCAAATGATGATGTTTTGCCTGGAAATCTGTTTGCAAATGGGATTTTCTTTTTTTCTTTTGCAAAAAAAGAATCATATTGCTCTCTCTATTAACATCATTAAAACAGCACAAATTTGCCAGGTTGAAAAGCTGGAAATCTTACATCTCCCCTCAGGGCATGGTCCAGAGTTTAATGTTGTTTAATTTTTACAGCTTTGGGGATTTTACTGTTAGTGTTGAAATATCTGGTGTTCTTCTAAAGGCCTGGGGTTTTGTGCTTACATGACAGGCTCAGGTTTCACTAAAAACAAACACATTTTTAGATACTGTGATTTCAGAGAAAAACCTGAAGGTAGAGGCTCTAGAGAAACACAATGCAAATACACCTCTTGTATCTATTTTTAAAAATACCCTCAAGCCATTCTAATTTTGGGGAAACAAGAATGAGAGGGGGTAGCAAGGCTTGCTTTTTTCACTTGATTCACCTTTCTTCCACACCCAATCTTAAAAAAAAACAAAACAAATTTAAGTTATAGAACCTGCAACCATTTAATACATTCAGTCTTGACCAGTAGGTTCAAGTCTTTCACAAAATAATTGCTTGTGTTGAACTATTTCTTTTTCCAAAGACCAGACATATGTGGGTATATATTTCCTTACAACTGGATTTGTCTGCTCCTAGAGTTAAAAGTCCAGTCAGGAGCTTGTCTTTGCTCTGGATCTGCAGGATGCACATGAAGCCATGGAGATGGAGGTGATCAGTGGCCTCACACACCACCTGAGTGTCAATACTTTATTCAAGTAAATTCAGTAATTCAGAATAAAGGAGAACTGTCTTTTGAGGCTGCACAGACACCACACTCTACGTGTGTCTTCTTCACCTCACCTGAGAAAAAAAAGACCTGTTCAGATGCACTTTTGAGTGGCTCAAGTGATGCAGGTGTTTTCCAGCATGAGAATGAACAGAAAGTCAGATTTAATTGTGTCTCCCTCTGTTTCACTCAGTTTAACCCTCAGTCCAGGAGCTCTCAGCTGCTGCTCCTTCTTACTCTTATTTGTCTCAGCTTTTGAAATGTCTCTTTGATGCAGTTGCAAATGTGCACGTTCAGTTCCAAAACAACCACAGCACCCAAAATACAGCTCTGAGACTGAATATAGCTCTGAGACTGGATACACATGAGTTCAGAGGTGCCAGAGCAACCTCTGACCCTTATGAACACTCTGTGAAATCTGTGGGTGTAAAATTAGGGTCTTCCTCACCACACGTGCTTGTTTGTTCAGGACTGAGCCAAATCCGAGTGGGATGCAACAGGATTATTTCTACGAGCAGGTTGGGCCTTTGATGTTAGTCAAACAAAACACTTTTAAAAAATATTCATAATACATTTTCCAGGCAAAATAAGAGGGGGAAAAAACCCCTCACTCCTATCAGATAATCTCTTTGAGGTGTTTCATATTAACCTTGAAAGGCAGGAAATTGGCATATTTGATATTGATGGGAGCAGCTCAGGAAATACGAAGTGAAGCCTATGAATAATGAAACATGTTAATGTTTCTTATTCCAAAGGGTGAGCTGCACCTGACAGATTGCTTTTCCTCTCTCAACGCTGGCAGTGCAACAGAAATAGAGAAAGAAAAGATGAACAGCAGAGTATTTTCCCCATCGTGTTACAGGAGACCTTAATCCAAGGCTGATTTTTGAGTGAAAAAGGCAGACTGAAATTTCTGCAGATTTTGTGTCAGTGCTGTAATAAATTTCTGTAGCATTCAGAATGGTAGTGATGGAAAGTGGAGAAGAATCCCAGCATTCCAGGGACACAATGGCATAATTCAAGGAGATCCTTTCACAGAAATCCCCCCCAAAAGTCAACAGCAGATCCAGTTTTCACTGGGCTTTTCTGTGTAATAAAACTGTTCTAAATTTACATCAGGGCAAGGGAGAGAAGGAGGAAGAATAATAAGGTGATTTACAAAAATGGAAGGCAACTGGCTGCTAATTAAAATAATAAAAAGTAGATCCAGGACTGTAACTTTTAGTGTTTTACCCAGATCACTTCACAAAACTGTTGCATGAAATAAGGAGCAAATGTCACAAGACAAGACTTCTGTATTTGGGATGCTTTTAGTGACTAATTCATAAAGATTAACCTTGGTGTCATAAGACATAATGAAAATAGGAAGAGTGAAAAATAGTTTTACCGTTAATTAAAAAAGGAAATTCTGAAATGTCAGTTTTTAATACAACTTCAGTTTTTCTCTTAAAGAGCCTTGTTTTACCTTTGATTACTGAAAGATTACTCAAAGTAGTTCTTCTGGGCATCTGGCCTTGCAACAGATGAGGTTTTTGTTCTCACACAAGGTAACAGCATTTGTATTTCTAATGAAAATATAATTTTTCTGAAGCATTTTAAAGGCATGCAGAATATAATGTAAATGTCACATCCAAAGTTTTGGCTTAGCTTTTATGAACACAGAATGAAAGAAACAAAAACAGAATAAGAAAAAATACTACCACGGCTTTTGTTAAATTGCAGTGAACAGTTTTCATTCTCAGTTTCATTTCTCCTTTACAGAGTTTGCACGTAAATGATCTTTTCCTCAGAAGACAAGTAAATCAACAAAATAAAAATAATTCTAGTTGTGTGTATTTAGTTTCACTGCCTAAGCCAAGCTACATGCAAAAGTTAAAATAGCAGCAAGAGAGAGGAGTAAACCTGATTGTAAACTCACTAATTAATTTAAGAAAAAAAAACAGACCTGGAAAAAAATTTGGTGTTTGTTTTAAAATCTGATAGTGACCCTTTAAAATCTTGTTTAATAGCATGAATAGGTAAAATAAATAGATAAGGAAAGAAATCAACGAGCATGGAGCAACTTTTCTCTCAGTGATTTTTACATTTCAAAAGGTAGAGTTGTATGGATGGAGGTGGCAGGAACCCATCACCAAAAGATGAAAAAATCCAGGCACTTACGTGGTGACTGGGGCCATTTACCACTTCGGAACTGGTTGTCCCTCCATCACCCTTGACTGACTAAAATAACAAAGGGTTACAGGACTTCTAACAGGGTTCATTCACTAAGAAGACACACATGAATAAAGGTTTGATTTAAGGCAGCTCTTTGCAACACTAAAACAAAACCAGACACTTCAGAAACTCCACCAACATTTTTGAAACACCCACAACCCCAAGGTGGATTTTGCAGGTTTTTTTCCTGTCAGTCTGTTCCTTGCAAGTCAATTTTCCCATTAAGAAAAAAGGAGAAACATGAGTGAGGTCTCAATGGACCTGAGATCATATCAGTCCTAAACAAGACAGTGCTATCAGCCCTGCCACTGTAGTTTTCTAGGAAAGAGCTTTTTTTGCTTTGCCGAGCCAAATCCATCTTACAAAATCTAGTGGGACTTCCTCTCTATCCAACCCTCCCACTAAGTGCATGCCCTGTGAATAATTAAAACCCACTCAGCTCTATAGGTGTATTTTTATAATTTATCATCAGCGTCCATTTATTCCCAATTTTTGCTTCCCAGTTTATGCCTGCAGTCTGTACACATCTAAGTGATAGCCCTCCTTGGTGCCCACTCTTCCCAATCCAAGCAGACCCTGAGGCTGCAGCTCTCAGAGGTCATTCAGAGCAAACCTTGACTCTGAAATACCTTTTTTTAAGGTACAATCCCCTGTTTCCATTTAGCTTTAAAAATGAGAAAGCCCTGTTTGACAGAACTAGCTCAAGGAGTAAATATCACAAGCTTTGTGACAGTTAAATTAAGCTTTAGTCACAATTAGTGCCACAGAAAGAACAGGAGTGGAGTGTACATTTGTAATTAGGAGCCGTGTTCTGTGGTATTCCCCTGAGTGCTGTACAAGCCACAGAGCTCCGCAGCAAAGCGTAAAATAAACTCCAGAATTTCAAAGAGCCCAAATTTAAATGTCATTCTTCATTGCCTAAGTTCAATGAAAACAATGAAAGGATGTGACTTTTGTTCTAAAGATAGATCAGGCGGAATTGTGGTTTTCTGCAGCTTGTAGATTTGTAACTTGAAGCACAACAGTGTCAGCTCCATCCTACAAATGGTGTTATTGCAAGGATCTATTTCAGTCCCTGATTTTCCTGTAAAACCACAGAAAATCAATATGTGCCAGCAGCAGGACAGAAAACCAAACCACTCCGTGACGATTCATTACTTTTGTGGGAAAAATTCTCGCTCTGGAACACGTTGTTGCTCAGCCTCCTGTGTTTGTGCTCGTGACGCTTTATCTGTGCAAGAGGTTGCAGAAATGGAGGGGAGGAAGCACAGCGTGGTCTGTCTTTACACTGCAGGAGACAAACTCAGTCCAGAGTGTATGAAGATGTGCTGTGATAAGATCTAGTTCGCATTTCTATCTCAGCAAGGCTCAGATGCTTCCAGAAAAAAAAAGTTTGTGCTGTGACATCCATCAGTGTTACTTTTCCCCCCCTAAACACCCCAAACCCAGAAAAAAATAGCCCTGCTTTAGCCAACATCTAGTAATCCATCTCTCTCTCTTTTTTCATTATTTATTTTTATTTTTTTCACCAAAAATAACAGAGTAAAGACCTTGAGGTCTAGACAGAGTTCCCTCTTGCCGTCAGTGAGACACGATCCCAAGGATTTCTCTCCAGCACTGCTGACCTCTTATCCTTGCCTTTGGTCACTTAGGATTGCTGCTGCCCAGAGCTTCCCAAAACCACCCCCCTGCTTTCTGTGGCAATAAGGGCTGGATCAGCACGTCTTTAAATGGAGGAAGGTGGGGACAGCCAACCCATTTGCTACATTTTCATGAATAATGAAGAAAAGTTAAGTTGTGACAGCATAAAATAGCTATTCTTGATTCCAAATGCTATTTATTGCCTAAAAGTTTATTTACATGGGGAAGTAGGCCAGCACAGATGCAGCAGACAATGTGGAAACAATATTTAGTTATCCCAGGAAGATAAACTCTCCTTGGGAACATCCATACTCAACACTATCTTAGACCATCTGTGCTGCCAATAAACTTCCTGGTTGAGGACAAAGCTACAGCCTCAGTTGACAGTTGGCAATTATCTCATTCTTATTAAAAATGCCAGTTTACACCCTTCTTCTCTCCACAAAATATCTCAAACCAGCCATTTTAAAAGGATTTCTCTTATTTAGCTTTGCACCTGTTTATATCCTATGCAGGAACTTTCAGGGCTTACATCATCTGACATGTCCTAAGGGGCTCTCAGACCTGCTCAGCCTCCACAAGGGGACCTGGGGTGATTAATTCAGGTGTAACATCTCTATCAGGACACCTGCACTGGCTCTGATATATCCCATCCTGGAAATAACACAATAACTGTTTGATTTTTGATTAATGAGGCTGGAATGACTTTCAGCTGGATTTCAAATCCACATAGGTGGATTACTTCGATAAAAGAGCAGTGCTATTTCTTCATCTCTTATTGAATTCCAGGGATTTAGACTAATACTTTATCTTGCTATAATTGCCCAATATCTTTTATAGTATTAGTTAACCTTCTCCTATTTTAACCACAGTAGTGGCTTTTGTGACCTTTGCAAGCACAAATAAGAACGGACATCTGCGCTGAGCAAGTCAGCAGGCAGTCTTTGGGATACACACTGCCTTTTCCAAGGGAAATTCCTCCTGGTTCTCCCAGTGGCTTCTCCTTGTGTCAACAGCAGCAATTACAGTGCTGTGGATCTAAATGTCTCCTTGCTGTCACCCCGTGCTTGTGCTTTCTGAGGAGAATAATGTCAAAACTGGGGCATCTGGAGAATAACTGACTTGCCTGTTGGAGGTTCACAATAGACTGGAATAGAATTAATCTTAATTTCTAGGTACCAGTCTTGAATCCTAAAATGCTAAACTGCCTTTCCTTGGGCACCTGGTGGTGACCTGTGTGACATAAAACTGTGGATGTTGTGAGAATACCTTGGGATCTTCCTCTGCAGGCAGAAGAGAAACCCAGTAAAGAATCATATTAATATAAAATTAAAAGTCAACCTCTTCCAAGAGATACTATTGCTCTAATAACCTCCCACTAGCCCAGGTTGCTCCAAGCCCTGTTCAGCCTGGCCTTGGACACTTCCAGGGATGGGGCAGCCACAGCCTCTCTTGGCAACCTGTGCCAGGGCCTCCCCACCCTCACAGAGAAGAATTTCTCCCTCCACTTTATGGCTGCTCCTGCAGGGCAGCCAAACCTCCAGACAAAACTACAGTAGAAACCTTTTCTGAGTGGAAATGACACCTTCCAGTGAATGTTCTGCCAGTGCAGCTCTGCTGAGCAAAAAGCCCTATTAGATATCTCTACAGAGTTCATCTCAGCTCTCCACAGCCCTGGAGCTTCCCTGACTTTTCCTTGTGAGAAAAATCAAGCCTGTGTTGGAATTTCAGACATTTCACCCATTTGCAGCACTCACCACTAGTTCAAAAGCTTTACAGAATGTACCTGTTCAGCAGTGGCTTAAAATCCTTGTGTTTGCCTTCAGAATCAGAAATACTGACTGAGCAGCTGGCACAAAGCTGTTGGGCAACTGATTCTGTACAAAAGAATGGAAACAATCCAGTAATCCCAAAGCTACTCAGAGGAAACAGCCCAGGAAACTTCAGGGACAATACAGATATTAAAATAATCCTTGATCTGTTTGGAAATTGATAGCCAAAAGTAAAGCAGATGAATACTGAAGGTTACAGAAAGCTGCAAAACCACCTAAACCATTAATACAATTATTTTCCCCTGTGGGTAGATGTTTGTCTAGTACTGGTTCTGTTTTCTAGGCCAAAATCTGGATTAAATCCCCGCTCTGATTAGAGCAGTGATACATCTACTGCTTTAACACAGCATTGTTTTCTTCCATGGTGACTAAGATGGGTGTGGAACAGCTTTATTTTTTTTAATGGGTGCTATTTTTTGGTAGAGTGACACGATCTGAAGTCACGATCCCCACAGTTGTTAGTGTTTGAAATGCATTGCTCCCAACTCCCCTTCTGCATGCCCAGCTTGTGCCACTGACAGGCCTCCATGCAGGACAACCACAAGGATTTAGGAATAAGGAGATTTTTATAAGCTGACTGAAATCTTATGTGGAATTAAAAGCAGGTTGGGTGCACAATTGCTGGCTGATATTAAGAATTTTTTTGCTTGGATCCTCAAATACATGAGTGGCCCTGTAGTAAAGCACTCTCCAAGAACAGAAACTAAATGAACCCATCACAGGTTGGGCTGAGCCCAGCAAACAGCTGAGAATAAAAGAAATGCTAATCTTTTGGAAATAAAAAATGAACCAAGATTTGGGCTGTGGTGTGCACTCCTACAGTCTGAGTCACGAAGTTTAACCTGTGACACTGTGACTGTTCACAGGTACGTACCAGGTACGTGGGCAGACACCTGGGCTGGCCATTACATCAGCTTCAAAGAAACTACATTTTTCCACATTTTAATGTTTAAGCTACTCTGATATCCACACCATGTAGCTGCCTGAAAATAAACCAGCATTGACTGAAAATGGAAATCCTCCATATGCATTTGTAAACCTTGCCAAAATAGATCAATTGCTATATAAATCCTCAAGGTCTGCTACGATTTTATCAGAGACGTGTTATTTCTAGACTTGGATTATTTTCTTTCTTGGCCACTTTTCTGGGTTGTTTTAAGAAATATTGTCTGGCTGTTTGTACACAAATCCATTGGAATAATTTCACACCTACAGCCACAACACAATACCAGCCACTTGATCACCTCAGTGGTTTCCTTCTTCTCTCTGGTCTTCTGGGAAAAAGGATTAGATTCTACTTTATGCCTTCCATTTTTCTGTCTAACAGACCTTTGCAGCAGCAACTGCATCCTTTCACATGCCAGTTTAGCTAACCTACATAAGCTGCCAAAAAAAAACAAATGACCTACTGAAAATACAACTCCCTGAAGCAAGTGCAGAACTCGACACAACGCAGGGACATTGGACGACCGGGAGACGGGTTTGGAGATGGGATCCTCCCGGAGCATCATCCCGGGGGAAGCGGCTTGTGGAGCTGAGGTTCGTTCAGTAGCTCGACCCCTGGAGCTCCCTGGGCCACCTGGGGGAGGGAAAGGGCCACCGGAGCCCTTTCCCTCCGGGGGAAGGGACCGCGGCACGTTCCTGGAGGAGCCGCGAGAGGGAGATGCAGGACGGGGAATTGCGGGAGGGGGGTCACACTCCGCCCGCCCAGGCGCAGGATTTCCCAAGAATCACCCCCCATCCCGGCAGCCCTTCGCTTACCAGCTTGAAAAACTTCCTCAGATTCGTCTTGGGCGTTTTGCTTTCTGCCCCTCTGGGTTTCACTTCGGAGCCCTCTGGGCTCTTGCTCTCGTCCCTGTCCGGAGCCACCGCTTCGAAAGACGCCTCTGTTTTCTCATTGCTCACGGCCTCCGCTTCCTCCGATGCGTTCTGGGGTTGGGAAACGCGAAAAAAAGGGGAAAAAACATTCCCACTTAATCAGTGAGGATTTGCTTGGGATCTTTAACGAGGTTACAAAGTGCTGCAGCACTGCAGGAACAAGTGTGGCATGAAAGCATCCTTTGCTTAACTGATCTCTATGTGTTGCTTCAGGAATTTGATTAATCCCAAATAAAAAAAGTAAATAAGTGTTAAAATCTCACCATCTTATATAAATCAAACAAATGGCCTTTCTTGTGCTGCAGTACCAGTTCTCAAACGCAAGAATCTAGATTTGACTACAATTTTAAAAAAAATTTAAATGAAATGGCATGCAGCAATATGTGTCCTGAGAAGATGACACTCAGGTAAAACCAATAAATATGAGAAAGATCATACCCAGGAGTTTGCACACAAAAGCAGAAATAGGATTAAATAAAACACATTGTGGACGTTATTAATTGTTAAAACTGTATAGCATCGTTCCTACTGAAATATAGGAGTGCAACATCCCAGCCCCAGCATTGTCAGGCTGGTCACATCTGCATCCCCAGCTCCTCTTCCCAGCTGCACAGATATAAATGATTTTTTGAGGTACAAGGTAGTTAAGTAGCTCATCTATTCCTTCACCTAATTCCACGGGTCACAGTCATTCTCTTTGATAGTGCTGACCCTCATTTGAATTCAAGAAAAACTCCTGGGCTTTAGGAACGTTTAAATCCTGACTTAGAACACCTTTTTCTTTCTTTAACTTAAACACCTATGCACTTACTTTAATTTGGAATTATTATATCAAAGTTGTTGTGGAAGTTATGGTTTATCTTGTTTGAGATCTTAGGCTTGCTATTAAAAATGGTATGAATTTCCTATAATTATCTCCAGAAACCATTCCTGTAAACCCATCTCCCTCTGTGAGGCTGTGAGGTTTTCTTTCACAATTTTGTGATCTCAAAGATATCTGTGGAAGCCTGGTCCAACCTCCTGCTGAGGAACTGCTTGCTTTGAGCTTGTGCTGCCTCCAAGGCTGGAGGTTCCACAACTTCTGTGCAATCAGACCAGGGTATTTCTGACATCCTGGGCCAAGAGGAAACTCCAGACACATCTCAAAGTCCTCTTCTCAAATAAAGCTGAGGTGGCAAATGGAGACTTATGACCAAACCCCTTCCAGCAAAGGTTCTCTGACATAATTAAGAAGAATTTTTAATTTTTGTTCCTGTTCCGCCTAAGAAACTTGAAGAAAAATTTCCATTTGTGCATTCAGGAAAATCACCAAGGTGTTTCTGGCAGGAACTGAGAGTGAAATAGGAAGAGTCTGACAAAGCTGAAGTCAATAAACTTTGAATGATGTTACATTAACTGTTCTCTAGAGCAACAGGCTCAGCTTCTTCACTTCACTTAAGGGAAAAACAAAAGCTATATCAAGTTTTGTGACCAGTTTTAGGAAGAAACTCCAATTTATATAGAATAATAATTTGCAAACAGCCTGGCTCACATCAGCTTTGATGCATAAGTGTTCTCATAAAAGTTCTCTCCTTACACCTATAAACTGCAGCAGCTGAGGTTGCTGCATTCATGGGTCCAGATCCTGCTTCCAGTTTCCTTAAACACAAATTTTAATCAATTCAACCTAAGTCAGCAGCTATTGCAGTTATGCACCATGGGCACAGAAGGGCTGTTGGGTTATTTTATTTTTCTTTTGTTAAAGGCACTCTGCCAAATTTAGAAAACATTTCAAGATACATTTGTTTGAAGTAAGATGAGCTCTATTCTTCCTGTTACAGAGCAGCTTTTGCTTTCTTTTTCAAAATAATATTTTAACTTATCTTTGCTAGCTGTGTTTTATAAGAGTATTTTACTGTGCTCTTTATTTCATTGTTTTGAAAGCATTTTTTATTCCCTTAAATGAGAGTGTCCTTAATTTTCTTTCAGTAGTAAGCTTTTAAAAACAATTGTGGTGGAAAGTTTGTGTCTACTCTGAGACACCTTCTAGTTCTTACAAACCCTCCTGTTGTTTTGGGGAACTGTTACTACACCATTTTCTTATCTGGGTTCCTGAGCACACAAATTGTTGCCTTATGAGAGTGTAACTTATTTTGTGACCTGGATAACTTGGATTGGAGTTTTCCTTTGGCTGGCTGCATCTTTCCTCCAAATTGAGATAAACACTGCACCCTGCTTTGATCTCGTGCTGCAGTCTGAGCTGGCACTCCCCACTGCGTTTCATTAGACACGAGGAGCACTTCTGCTTTCCCTGGGTCAGACCTTCCCTATGAAGCAGCTTTTCTTTTATCTTAACAATATATACAAGATGACCTTTTGTTCGAGAAATTTCCACTTAAAAGGGTAGTCAGGCTTGAGATCTGCTCCAGACTCACAGGCAGGGAGCAGGGAGGGTTGGAGAGACTTTCACCCACCTTCCTGCCCTCCCTGGCCAAGGCAAAGCCAACAGAGGTTGCTGCAGTCAAGGCAACTCAGCTTTAGCCCTCACCCTGGGCTTGGACCTCCCCCCAAAGCCCCTGTGACCTGCAGCCACTGCCTGAAGGTGCCACCAAGCAGGTTTTGGGCTGTGACAGCTCAGACTATGAACCACTGACACCACAGGTCTGGACAGCCCAGGAGTGGGGTCTGACCCCTGAATCCCTGGGTTGGGGAGGTCAAGGTCCTTCCCTGCTCTGAGGATGGCAGCTGTGCCAGCAGTCAGGCTGTGAAACAGCCCCCAAACCTTATTGCCCCCCTCACTCCCTCAGCCATGGGGGAATTCTCCTTCAAGTGCCTTCATCCACTTACTCAGCAAAACCCAGCCAGGATCTCCTTCTCTTCCACATGGTAGATGGTGTGTATTCCAGGATGGGACCAGGTGAAAGGCTGCAGGAACTTGGTAAGCCCTGGGTAATTTTAACATTTGCCTCACACACTCCACTCTTTTTGCTTATGATGAAACACAATTACAGGCTCAGCAATAAAGGTGAGATTGGACATGGAACTGTTGGAGCAAGTCCAGAGGAGGCCATGAAGTTGTTGAGGGGACTGGAAGTGTTCAAGGCCAGGTTGGATGGGGCTTGGAGCAACCTGGTCTAGTGGCAAGTGTCCCTGCCCATGGCAGGGGGTGGAACTGCGTTGTCTCTAAGGTCCCTTCCAGCCCAAACCCTTCTGTGACTCTATATTCTCCTTCACCCAACAGCCAACCAGTTTGCTGTTTGTGCATCAGCACAGAAATACCCCTCAGTAAAAAGAGCATAATTTTTCTGCAGTCGTTTGACAGCAGAGTTGCAACAGCTTAAAAGCCTAGTTTTTAAAGAAAATCTATCTGCTTTTAAAGATAGTTCACAGAGCAATCCAAATAATGCTGCCTTGATCACCTTCCACAATTTACTGGACTGCCTTGATCGGATAAATACGAAGCATCCTGTTCCTCTGCCCTGGTGAAAGACCTAAAAGGCCTTGAAGCCAGCTTTCCAACACAAATATGGGAAATCATTAACTGCAGCTTTCTATCAGTATTCCTCATTAGAAAAGAAATGCTGCCATGACAAACATTTGAGTAACAGTTACAAAAACTCCTGTGCAGACCCATCAGGAAATGGGGCAAATTCAAAGTGGTTCCCAGCTGAGAAGCTGAAAAAGGAATTTTTCCTTTTCCCTTTCCATATTTATTCATCTGCAGTCAGAGCAGCAGCATCAACTGCAACGTGTTGACAGGCACTTCATTAGCTTCACTTTGAAGTGAAAGCTCATCAGAAGATGGATATTTAAGAGACTGCCTGGAAAGGGAGAAGCTGGATCTCAGTCCTGGATCTTTTGAGTGTTGTGGCTGCTGTTTTTTAGTTCAAAAGGAAAACTACTCCTGGCTCTGAATTATACACCTATTGGAACAGTTGCCAGCTTCAATTCTCTGTCCTAGCAAGAGGACAGTGCACTGAGTGGGCCAGAAAGATAAAATCACTGCAGGAAAACATCGCATGAATTCTTCAAACCAAGCGGTTTGAGTCTAACCTGTAATCTAAGGACTTTATTTTTTTGGTACCTCTACTCTCATTATTTTTAGCTTCAAACTGACTGGGTCACCAAGGGCTTTCATCAAAGGAAATATTATTCTCTGTCAAGAAATCTCAGTAAGGAAACATGAGCTTTTTACAGGTGAGGATTCAGTGCTCAAAGAGGCTGATTTTTTTTTTTTAAATTCTTAGGACCAAATCCAGTTCTCTATTGCAGAAATTCGCTCCAGAAAACTTGCAAAAACTTTAGCCTCAGCATGATTCCAGACCCAAGAAGTTCTAACTAAGCAAAACCAGGCTCATTTTTTAGAGTTCAGGTTTCACAGACTACTGTAATTCAGTGCATTTGTGTAAGTGCTTTAACCAGCCCTTAGTATTTTTGGCAGCAACAAAAATCTGCTTGTAGAGAATTCTCTGCAAAACTTTCTGTTCCATAAGCAGCTGATGACGGTGTAGGATAAAAAAAATGCACTGTTATCAACCAACAGGAGTGAAAGAATTTTGGGACAAGGTTTGTACCCCTGAGATGTTTGAGATCCCTGGACTTCACGTGAGGATTGTTACAAGGTTAAAGCAGCACAGGGCAGGGACCAAGAGCTAATTTAGCTCTAATATGGGATGTGTAGAGCTGGTGTTCACTGTGGGCAGTAAAACATCAATAACTGCTTTAGTTTGGGTTAATATTTCAAAATAAGGTTTAGAAACCTTACCAAAACCTTATCAGATTTTTTTTTAAGCCTTCACTACCAATTTCTCCCTCAAAGAGGTGATTTTCACTAGTTTTCTGCAAGAAAATCTTCCTTTCTTACGTGTTTTTTCTTTTTTAAAAGACTGTGTTACTTCATTATGAAATTGCTGAATTCAGACCAAATTTATTACTCTGTTTTACACTGAGACTACACAAAACAGTCTGCCAGAAGGCCTCTTTTTTTCCCTTATTTCATCCTGATGTTCAACATACATCCTGCTTCCCAGCAAATAAGCCAGACTACTCCGAGTGGGAGGTTTCTGTAGCAATAACGACATAAAAAACCCTCCCTCTCCCTCTTCTTCCCAACTTACATCTCATTCCAAGCACCTGATTCACCCAATTCCCCAGGAAATTAAGTCCCAAGTAGCAAATGTTTCAAGCTTGGATTGTTTTCATGCATATTTACTATTTACTAAACACCTTCATTTCTTTTACATAAATAACATTTCCAAAATGTATCTCCAGCTCAAGCTAAAGAAGCTGCAGGGCCACTCAGCAGCATCTGGGTGTTTGGAAGCAGTTAATTTCTGGGATTTGGACTTGAACAGAAGCCCAGAAAAGCAGTTATTCAACATACAGTGATTCAGTAAAGTTTAATACAGTCCTTCTTTCAACTGAAGATTCCATGAGGATCATGGAAACAGGAACTGTGTTTTCAGAGTTAGTCCTAATTTTAGTTAAAATCATTTTTTAACCTGAGGAATAATGTGTCTTCCCAAGCAACTAAACACCCAGACTCAAAGACTGATCTGCTCTGTCATGGAACATTTTCTACTGAGTAAGAATAGACCCACCAGATTCCAGGTTTTTAAACATCTAGAACTAAAGCAAACAGTTCCAAAAGATGGGGGGGTATAAAAGAGAGATGGGTTTTTACAGATATATCTCTATTAATGATATGATTTGGTAAAGAATGCTGTGATCTCTCTGGGGTTTTTAACAGAAGCCTTGAATTGACAGAGAAAAACATTCCTTATTCCATATAAATAAAAAAATTACAAGGTTTAACAAACTGGATTTGTGTGTTTTGATGAAACCAGGAGACAAAGATACAAGGGTGTGTTTGTATGTGCATACAAAGTTCAGCACATGGGAGCTGCTCTCCCGGGCAGGTTTGACTGCTCTGCTGTCACAGTGCTCGGCAATAACTCCTCTCCCTGCACGGAGATGGAGCAGCTCCACAACCCAGCCATACCTTTTTCCAGAAGAGCTTGCTCAGGGGCATGGGGGTGGCTGATGGTTTCTCCTTCATCCCCTCCCTGGGGGCTTCACTTGCTGCTCCCTGAGGGGTTGCTGCAGCCTCGGGGGCCTTCGGGTTCTGCTTGGCCGGCGGCGGCTCTTGGGAGGGAGGGACACTTTTGTCTGGTTTTACAGAGGTAACAGGCTGCTGCTCAGGGCTCTGGAAGGAACATGGACACACAGGTTATTGTGGAGAACAAAACACCCAGAGCATTTTCAGGCATCACTTGGTACAGGTGAGCACCACTGCACAGGTGACATGGGCAGCAAGGTGCACCTCTGCCCTTTCAAATGAAGTGACATCTTGAAGAGAGGAAGCAAATGGCACAGCAACCCACCCTTCCCAGAGATGAGTAACTGATAAAGGAATTAAAACACTGTCTTGGAGACTAAAGATGACAGTGACAATAATTCCCCTTTGCCCACATTATTCACACAGATAACTCCAGCCATCCTACTCACTTTGGTGTTGGTTGTCTGTTGGGTCTCTTTTGCAGCCTGAAGGGAAACAAAACACAAAGACAAGTCTGTCTGAGGCAATGTCACAGTGCTCAAATTGTCTATGGGACAAATTATTTTATTTTTAGTCAACGTTTGTGAAAGTCCTGGCTCCTGCAGCCATGGAAACTGAGCCCAGGCTGAGGAGAGGCTTCCAGAGCACTGCCAGGTCCCATCCTTCTACCTGCACTGCTTTGTGCTCATGTTGCTGTGCTTGCAGTCCTCAACCTGTTCTATAAAAATAGCTGTATTTATATCTGCATTCCCATATTCCATATATTCCCGTTCTGTCCAGGTAACACATTACACAGGGTTTGAAGGTACTAGCAGAGATTTTTCTGCACTGAGTCTGCGTGTACAATTTCCAGGACACATTTACACACCAGAGCTGGGTGTTTTCTATGGGGAGCCACACACCAGTCTGGGATGTGCTCCTGCTGCCTTCAGAATGGGGAACTTCACTTTCTGGGATATAAAACAGAGGCAAATGACAACCTGGAAAGCAAGGGCACAGAACAGTCATGGTTTTGTAGGAGCAGGAGTTGCGGTTCCACAAAGAGAAGCTCTGCAGGTGCTGGAGGTTGGTTTAACCCATCCCCTCACACTTTTGGGCATTAGGTGGGATTTACTCTTTTCATATAATCATAGAGTGGTCTAGGTTGGAAGAGACATTAAAAATCATCTCATTCCACTCCCCTGCCATGGGCAAGGACACCTTCCACCATCCCAGGTTGCTCCAAGACCCGTCCAACACGGCCTTGGACACTTCCAGGGATGGGGCAGCCACAGCTTCTCTGGGCAACCTGTGCCAGGGCCCCCCCACCCTCAGAGGGAACAATTTCTTCCCAATGCCCAATCTAAACCTATTCTCTGTCACTATGAATCCATTCCCCCTTGTCCTGTCACTATGTGCTCTTGTAAAAAGTCTCTTCCTTGTAGTCTGCCTTTTGTAATAAGCTCCTCCTCAGATCTGTGTCTCCTGATTTCCTCAAAACACACAAATCCAGGAGGAAATTCCTCCTGGGCAGTGATACACCCCTCTCTCAGCCCTCACACCCAGCAGAGCTCACACTGAAGAATTACCTGAGCTGTAGATAAAACATCAGCCAGCCATAAACTGAGCCCAGCACCCCTGGGCTTTTGGGACTTCTTGAGACAGCAGGTGTGAGTTATTTTGCAGGAGCCAGGACCTTTTTTGTGGTCAGCTCTAATGAACAGGATCCAGAGCAAGTAGGAAGAACAAGCACAATACCACAGACTGGCTTCAGCACTAGTGCTCAAAGTGAGTGACCAACCCTTCTCTTCCAAGGAAAAACCCCATAAACCAGCACAGTTACACTGAAAAACTGGCATGAAATGCAAGGCAAATACACAGGGATGGGAATGAAAGGGCAGAGAGGGACCCAGTTTGGAATACCACCCAAACTGAGTCTGAGGTCAAATGGACAAATCGCACTGTGTTAGGGGTTTATATCAGGATGTGCATTGCTGTTTGAAAACAACATTCAGGAGTTGCTTTAAAGTTAGTATTCACATAACAGAAGACTGAAAAACAATGTTTTTGTTAAGCTAATAGTCAATTACTGTACAGAGCTGTTTATTTTGGAAGATTTGCACAGGAGACAGTGAAGTGTTCAAAACTAAATATGAGTAAATAGATTAAAATTATCATTTCAGATAAAGAAATTTGTTACCTGGTGATCTAGTTCACACAGTAAGGCATTTCAGAGGAAAAGATACAAACTAGGGGTTTTTTTTACTAGAACTGGTAACTTTAGGGCCTGCCTGTCACATCACTTCTCCAATCTGAATTGCCATTTTCAATCAGCCTCACAAGCAAACTGTTGGCACCATTTTAATCCATCCCCTTTACTCTTAATATGCCATAAATGCTCTCTCAGCTATTGCTTCTTTAGTTTGTATGTGGAAAGGAAACTGTGAAAAGAAATTTGGAAACAGGAAAAAGCTGTTTTAAAAGTAATGACATTTTATAGGACAGATTTTATTGGCGTAAAAATTTAGTGCTGTTGCTTTCCTTAAAGATAACTGCTCTCATTCCAGACCATAACTTTTTAAAGTTCCATTAAATATTCCAATGAAAGCCAAGCATCTCTCCCTACAATTCACTGCAAGATTTTTGCATTGTTGTAGAAGGGTCTTAAAAAATCCTAGGCAGGTGTAGCTTTTACCAGAAAGCCCTAATTCATTATGAACAAATAATTAGTATTTTCATTGTATTAAATACCAAAACTATTAGCTATCAACATAGTATATATGAGATGAGATCTTAACTTTAGGCTGGTGGCAAGAATTGCAGACTTAAAACCATTGGGAATATTATTATTCCTTCAGCAACATGCAGATGACTTATCTCAAAAATGTGACATGGGAAGAACATTTCTGTGTTGAAAATGTGTTAAAGAGCTCCCTTTGACTTGTGCCCTTGACTATAAAGCCCCCTACTCACCAGAAATTCCATGTGGGTGTCTTGAGTGAGCATTAAATATTAATTACTTGCCTCCCCCAGTGAAAGGGTCTCTGCTCCCACATTCTTTGGGCTAAAAAGCTACAATTCTCTATTTCTCTGCCATGGAGCACCATGGTAGATTATCCTCAGAGACTGCAGAAACCCCTAAATACAGAGCTTGAGACCAAAAGCTTTCAGTGATTTTTGGTCCTCTGAAACAACCCTTTGATTGAATGTGCATTTAAAACACTTAAAAGTACTCTTCAAAACCAGATTTTTTTTCCTTCAAACTAAACCTGGACTTCAACGAACAATTACTTTTCTTGTTTTCAGTGAGAAATACCTATTTCTGAAGGCAATACCATGTTCCAGCCTTCTCTGTGCCATATCAGATGGCCCAATTCACCAATTTTAGCCACGTGATGGTGCCTGTTAATGACCATAAAGCCTGAAGTGTGGCTGGACTGAGCTCTGCAGCTCTGCCTGCTCTACAGTTGCAGGCTCTGCTCAACATTTACACAATTCATTGTTTGTCAGCACCTTGGATTTTGTTTGTAGTGGTCAGGGAGGTTTAGTCAGGGTTAGTAACTGGGAATCACAGAGCAGGGAAGGTGAGAGGAGTTCTTTCAGAACCCTGAGCTCACAGATGGCCCAACAAGAGAAATGCTGCACGTGAGGATGGTTTTCATCACACCTGGCCCGGGAACGCTCACACAGCATTCCCAGAGCACTGCACATCTGGCCAGATGCTGGTTGGAGTCACCAGTTAAACAACTCTTCTCTCTGACAGGAGCCATCTGTTACTGCTCAGGGCTCTGCTCCTGCTCGAGGTTCATACCGACCTTGTGCCTAAAGAGTTTACTAAATGTGCTGTGGCCCAGCTTGGGACTCTCTGCCTTCTTTTTCTTGGCTCCTTTGGTTGGGGATTCTGCCTTCGGAGAGGGCTGCCCACCATGGCCCTTCTCTGCTCTCGAGCCCTTTGTACAACACCAGTGGCAGTTGAGCACTTATTGCAAAGTTATTTGGTTCATGAAAGACATTCAAACACTCACACACATAGCATTAAAGGTAAACATCTCCTTTTTGCCCTGGACAACAAATCATGGGTTTGTTTGTTTTTTTTTTTTTCTGGGTGATTACTCAGCTCTCCTTAGACTATATGAGGAGTGAAATAAAAGCTAAGACAATCCACTTGATTCCAAATTAAATCACAATTTTCCCTCTAAAATCTCCATTAAATTGAAACCTAAATCCCACAAAGACTGAGACTTCAGTTGTTGACATCCAAGGTAACTAGCTTGTCCCTTTGCAAGCTTCATTCTTTTTTATTTTATACTTCAACAAGGTAAAAAAAAAAAAAAAGCTTCCAACCAGCAAAAAACTTGAAAATGAGTTGATAAAACTTTCCAGGAACTATGGAAGCACACAGAGACCCAAACTCCAAAGAAACAATCAGCCTACGGTGTTTACAGTGTGAATCACAGAATATCCTGAGCTGGAAGGGACCCACAAGGATTATCAGAGCCCAACTCCTGGCCTGCACAGGACACCCCAACAATCCCAGCTATGTGCCTCTTGGGGCTGTCCTGTGTAGGGACAAATATTGGGGTTGTTTAACCAACAGGGTGGGAGGAAAGGTCCAGAGTACAGAATGTGACACATATGAGCACGTGAAGTCGAGATCCTGGTCCCAAGACTGTGTCCTGCAGTACAGTCACCAGTCCTGCCAATGCTTTGTGCTGTGAAGCAGCTGTGGCCAGTCACATGGAAACTGGCCTTTTTTCCTGCAGTATCCTGCAAAATTCTCATATCCTGCGAAATTCCCAAGTGCAGAGTGAGATGGGAACAACTCAGGGTCTGCCACAGAAGGCTCAGGTTGGTGGTCTGGGGCAGATCTCAGAATACACTCTTGGTTTGTTTGAACTTGCAAAGGATCAGCTTCTTCCAAGGAAGTGACTGCTCTAACTCTGTGCTTACACAGATGAAGGGACAGTCATTAAGGGTGTGCCCAGGCTGCTGGAAGCACACATGGCTTCACCCAGCTGATTAGAGCCACAGATATCCCTGATGGCAGCACATTGCTGCAAAAAGCAAAAAGTTCCTCCCCCAGAGGGTGGTTGGGCACTGAACAGGCTCCCCAGGGCTGTGCTCACAGCCCCAAGACTGCCAGAGCTCAAGGAACTTTAGGACAACGCTCTCAGGGACAGGGTGGGATTGTTGGGGCGTCTGTGCAGGGCCAGGAGTTGGACTGGATGATCCTTGTGAGACCCAACTCAGGATATTCTGTGATTCTATGACTCAAAAGCACAACAGCCACCTGAGAGCCCCATGGCACTCGGGAGAGGCTCAGACTGCTCCCAGGGGAAAACACATCTTTACCACTAAGACACAAGTCATTTCTCAGGGGGAAAAAACCCCACCATTATTTCATATCAGCTGAAAAATCTGCAGCTTTTCTTCATGAAAACTGATAAGGTAACCTTTTACACTTATTTCCCCTCTAATAAACTAAAAATGTCCTATCAGGAGGATCATGAAGATAAAGGAATTCCTAATAAAAGAAAACTCCCACTTAACCTCTGCATAATGAGTTTGCATATCCTGCCAGTCATCTGGGCTTGTTTACCCTCCCAGTGTGATAACAAACCAAACCCAAACAGCATATTTGTTTCCAAATGACAGCACCCCAGCACCAAGAGTCACCTGTTGCAGCAGCACATGACAAAGCCAGGTATGTCAACGGGACTGAGCAACCGGATTTTTCACAGCTGTTGAAAGAGCTGCAGGTCCCACTGAGCCAGTGCAGTTTGAGAACTGCATTTTCTGGATGTCTGGGAAGACCTTAGCCCTGGCTGACGATTTTTGGAGTTATTTCAGAGTTATTGAGCTACAGCTGGGGAGTGATGTGTATCCCCCATGTCCTCACGAAGCTCTCTGCAAAAACTGATCGTTTCAGTACCAGGTTTTATCAAAAATTGAATGGGACAAAAGGATAAAAAAATAGGAGAGAAAACAAAAATGTTGATGCTCAGTGATTTTGGCTACTTAATATCTATATGTCAAACATTCCTTTTTTTAGGGTTCTATTCTTTGTATCTTATCACAGTGCAAGGAAAACTTCTGCTCTATGGGCAAATGGAATTTTTCTGTGGAATCCAGAGGTTTTCACTGCAGGGACCTGAAGTTTTAGATCAAGGACAAGTCAGAGCAACAACAAGAGCATTATCAAGTCATCATCAAGCTTGCAGAAGATGCAACAGTTCAGATTTTGATTGTAACAGATGATATGATTAACTGCACTATTTATTCTCATCTTCCTTTTAAATTTATTCAGGGGAAAAATATTTTTAGTTGCTTCAAATGACATCAATTGCTGAAAAAACAACACGACGAAGAGGAAATAGCTGTATCAGAAACTCTAGTGACTGAACAAGGAATCTGCCTACCTTGTCTTCAGAATCACTTTTGGCTTCAGCTTTGCTTGGGGAGACCTTAAAAGTATTTGAGAAAAAACAGTCACTCCACTCAGTCTTTCAAAAGATCTAAAAGATCATACGTTTGAAATCAGCAGGTTTTTCTAGCACAAAGGTGAAAGTATAAATTTTCCTACGTGAGGGGAAGCAATACCTGTAAACATTTCTTGACAACAACTTAAAGTCAATGGCTAAAATGAAAAATGCCTGGACCAAACATTTACTATTCAAGCTTACTCATCAATTCATAAAAATGAACTTAGAGATGTTACAAAATAAATTTCTTCGTGCAGAAGATGTTTAAGACAGGTAAATACTTCCAGGTCTACAAGCATCTCTGCAGAAGTAAAGGTTTTCAGAGCAGGTGCCCATCATTTGATCACAACTGCACTGTCCTCACACACCTCTCACTTCATCCCTCCCCAGTGCCCGTGACAGCAAACACATACACTCAGCTCATGTTCACACGGGATTTTTAGGAGTAATTTAAAGCTTAAAGAGATGGAAAGGAAAGGTAAAGTCTCACCAGTGTTCTGAGGAAGCTCATGACGGAGTTGTCTCCTGCAGCAGCTGCCTGGGGGCTGTCCTGCTTTACCTCTGCCTTCTCAGCTTGAGCAGCACCGGGACTGGTGACACCTGCAGAGTCCTCCCGTAGGTCCTTCTGGTTGCAGTCATCTATCTCCTAAATAAAAAAAAAGGGGGCAGAGATTCCTCAGTCCTGGCTTGCCTGATTTCCCAGTGGAATGCAAAAGTAACTTTTGTGACTTGCATTCTGTTGCTCAGAGAGTCACAACCCTAATTCCAACCATACTTCCCCAGCCTACATGTTCAGAACAATTGAGCATTTATACATCTCTTTCCCCTCTTTTCTAATGTATTCAGCATTGGCTCTTGGTTGGGGGAACATTGTTCTCAGCTACCAAGTACAACAAACACAAATCAAGTCACACACAGCATCCTAAACACCACTCTTCTCTTTTCAAGGCTGAACTTGTGAAGAATGAAAATAAAAGCTGAGATTTTGGCCTTTGACAGCTCACTGTCTGATTGTACCATACAAAGATTGCTTCTGATACTCTATTCTGCCATTCCAGGAATAATTATTGTCTAGCAAACACAAACATGACACAGATTAAAAGAAGGAAAAAGGCAACAACTCAAAGCAATTCTACTGAGCCAGATGGAGCTGCCTCCTCTCTTCATGGAATTAGAGTTCCCAGAGCCCAAAAAGAGTTTTCCAGTGCTCAAGCACTCATAAGTATGCAATATTAAGCCACTCACTTTCTGTTTAAACACCTAAACAAGGGTCATGGCTATTTTTTGGCACCCTTTCACTTTCAATTTGCCTGCTATTCTGGTCACCTTTGCCTTGAGCCTGCACAGGTAAATTCAACACAAGTGCTGTCACAAGAGAGCAGCCTGAGACAAGTCCTCATGGCCCATTCAGCACCTCCTTTTTTTTAAATATTTACTAGTACTACACCTGGCTAGTGATGTCTGAGTGTTACCAATAATCCTCCTTCCTTCCATCAGTGTATCTACACTGTAAGTGCAGGGTTGATCTGCCCATTTATAAAGTAAATTGTGCCTGGCACGATGGTGGCCTTGACTTTGGTGAGGATTTAAAACTGAGCAGACCACCCTGGCAGTTCCATAACTCCTCAGCAGAAGTTACCATCCCCAACTATTTAGTTGGTAGTACCCAAGTATCCATTGGGTCACTAAGAAGGGATCTGGTCACTAGCAAAGAATGACTAGAGAAGCAGTTGTAGGAAACCTGATTACTCCACAGGCAAAATCAGGACAAGAAATACTGATGAGCCTGTCTAGGTGTCTCCAGTAAACAGCATCTTCCTGGAGGTCTAAGGGACAGCAAGGTTTTTATCTCTAACCTACCCATTACAGTTCAGTGCTTTTTTTTGGTGTGAAAAGTTAAAAAAAAAATTGTTCTCTGGAACAATTGCCTCTGCTAGGCAATTAAAAATCCCACAGTATTTACATGACATTTGCAGAGGACACAGCTTTCTCCAAGTCACTAGTGGAAGGAGTTGACTAAAGATGCATAAATGGTTTAAAACTTCAGAGGGATAAACTGACAGGGATAGGCTGAGCATGGAGTGGTCAGTCTCCACACAGCATTTAGGGAGTTAAATACACAAGGCTTCAAATGCAAGAACAGATTTCTGTTTAATTCTCCACCCACCATTTTCCAAGTTTACCCAGGAAGAATCACAGCACAGTGGTTGAGTGCCTCAAATATTCAGAAGTTTCTGACAAGGGCCTAACACACCACTTTGTCCAGCTGCCAGTTCCAGGCCAGAGTGGCTCCAGGAACAATCTGTGCCGTGCAGAACATGCGTGGCCAGGGCAGCCCCACAGCCAGGGATGGCATCTAAAGAGCTCCTATGACAAATGCTGGCTCCCTTTCAGATGTTAAAGGGCCAACAGAGCCGTGAGGCAAGAGATCAGAGGAGCAGGAGGCACAAGAGCAGGAGGCTAAACAAAACCAGCTTCACAGCTGAGGGACTTGATGCCATCAAACTCTTTCCTACTTGATGCTATCGAGAATAATAAACAAAATAGATATTTTTTTTATTACAGCACAAGCCCAAGCCCTGATGTTGGGCTGCACTTTAGGAGGAAGGGAACTTTGCTGCACTCAGCTGTTTCCAGCAGCAGACACCAGCTGGGGCAGCTCCAGAGGTGCCAGGTACCACCTCTGGCAGCACTGGCTATCCCAGGAAATCTCCCTGGAAAGCCATTGCAGACACTGCAGAGCTTGAAGTACAGCACTATCCAAAAATCCCTGAACTCCAACTTCAGAGCACAAATGTGCCCCATAACACACCACTGCACGAGTATCCTCACTCCAGGATTCCCAGTCCAAGGCTGCCTTTAATTACCAAGATACAGCTGAAATACAGGCTTTGACAGATGCTGTGATCCATCTTGTGCTCCCATGGGAATACTGCTGCAGGGAGGAGCACAGACTCGGGCCATCAGCATATAAATCAGGGAGAGATAATGCACAGTCCTACATTATCACGTTTTCAGAGCCACAAAATCACCACAAAAGCCTCTGCAGCAGCTCCCCGTGCAAAGCCCTGGGGGCAAATAATGAGAGAAAGTCTAGGAATAACAGAAGGTCAGTATTAGGAGTTAACAGATCCTATGTAAATGTTCAATTCATTTCTCTGAGGAGCCAAATTTAGGGGTAATAAACACCTTAAATACTTATACTGTAGTTTCAGTTCAGTCATCAGAAAAAAAACATATCAAAAGAATGTATTCCTGCCAGCACTTTTGTTTGCATGAATCATGGCTCAGTGAAACATTTCAGGCATATAATTTATCTTTTCTTTGGCTTACATAGTAAATGCTTCATGAATTCATGAATTCTGTCCTTGTTTTAATTATGCTGTGTTCTGAATGTAGTTTTGTAGACCACAAAAATAAAGAGTGGTTCACCAAACACAGAATGTTTGTGCAGCTCTTAAGCTACAACTGTGGAGCCTCTCTCTTACTTACCAGCAATGCTGTTTGTTTTGTGTTGGCACTCAATTCGGGGAAACTTTGCTTTGCTTTTAGCTTTTACAGATACTACAAGTCATAATCCTCAGAAAAAAAACAAGAAAAAAAAAAAAGGAACTGTTGGCAGCAATATCTGGATTTTTAATATGATTATTTGGTAACAGCTTGTAGTTACTACAGTAACAGTAATTAAATTAGACTTGGTCATTCTCCCATCCTACACAAGAACTAGAAACTTTAGGGGGAACAGAAGGCAACTGTGCTGCAAGGCAGAGCCATGGCCTTTGTTTTAGAAACGGACTTAAATTTGGCAACATATTGGAGTGTTTAGTTGATATATTTTTCCCAGAAAAGGTCCTTAACTCCTCTCTGCCTCCAACATATTTTCCTTTTCATGTTGGAAGAATTAAATACAAAATTATAGTCCAGAAATTCAAGGGTAAGGCTAAAATTTCGCTCACCTGTGATACAGTTCTGTCACTTACTTACACTGAGTGACTTGAACCCTGATTTTGTGAGTGCTCAAGGCTTTCCATGGTACAGATTTAGGCACACACAGAAAATGTCCAGGCACTTTTGTTACCCAGCAGACCTGTCCTCAAGCAGGTCCCCAAAAAGCTGTTGTGTGATCCTGAAACACTCAGACACCAAACATCACCTACAGCTGGGGATGTCCAGATTATTCCCATTAGTGAGATCCAGGATGTGAATAGGTAAAAGACAACTTGAAGACAACTCCAAATCAGTAAGAATTAGTAAGAAATACAGGCAGTGCTGATAGAACAAAGCTTGATCTGAATGAACAGGGCTTCCAGGAGCTGTTAGAACTGGCAGAATAAGATTTACATTATCTTGTCCTGTCCCCTGATAGCTGCTCATACAGCACTGGTTTACTTGGGCTTTCAGCATGACTATTTGCTCCCACCAAGTGTTTAACTCTGACTTCTGGTTAAAACTCCTCCAGACTGTTATTCCATTAGAGTTTCACACTGTGTTACTTCAGCAGCACCAATTGTGACCTTTCACACCCCACAGCGTGAAAGTAGTGTCACTGCAATGACAGCAAAACAGGAAATAGGAATTTTGGTTGTAACAGTAACAATTCCTGCAAGCCACAAGGAAAACTTATTGTGTGCGTTAGTCAAAAAAATCTTCAGGAATTTACAGTGTTGAAAAGTTTCCTTCTCATAGGCTACACACAGAAGTACCAGTGTGCACTGAACAGATTATTCATTCTGAATTTTCCCCCCTGTTCTGTTTAGGTAGTGAATGACTTTATATTCTGCTTGGTGGAGACTATGGATTCTTTAAAAAATGCCCCTGTAGCTGTCTGAAACACTAGTGATGGGGCCACTTTGGAAGGCCACTGGTCATAAATGCAAATGTTTTGTCTTACAAATGAAGCTTCAGAAAAATATTAAAAATTTTAAGTTTCAAATTTGAGAAGGTCTAGGATACAGAAGACAAGGTAGAGGATCAAAGAGATTTTTGGGGACAACCTGCAGTGTTGTCAGTGCAAGCAGTGCACTGGTGAACTGTGTTCAGCACTACTGAGAGCATTAGTGATCACACAGCAGTCTTATTTGTGAGCCTGAACTAGGCTAATAAAACCAGTTGTTATGAAACTCCAGTCCCTCACATTGGATAGGATTTGAATTAGATCAATAATTAGTGTATTCCACCTCTCCAGCAGAACTAGGAAGAGTTATGCCATTTATCCCCATCCAAGGGATGGACTTATTCAGAAGTTAATCACCTGAAAATTAATTCTACAGTATCTTTGCTGATATCAGACTTTGAAGGAAGTGTAAAATCTAAACTGATACTTGTTTTCAGCTCCTTTGACTAATGTGCTCTCACAGTTAGTTTCTTATATCACATTCTCATCCTGTAAAATCAATTCTAATGGACCAGATTTCCTTGAGTAAAACAAAAAATCACAATAGCCAGGAGTAAAAAAAATTGTTGTTGCATAATATTGCTTATTGTAAAATGTAGGATATGCAACAAGCAGCTATTGCTCAAGAAATGGGACTATTTTAAAAATGGTACAAAGCACAACAAAGAACTTCTTTAAAACCATCCAAGCCAAACTCCAAGCTCCTAAAGCATTTAGTTTGTTGCTTTCAGGTATTCTTGCTTTCACTGGCAGCTGGCTGCTGTTCATCCTGGCTTTAGAGCGTGGACACAGACAGTTCACAGAGTACCAGGAGTCAGAAGGGACCCACAAGGATCATCGAGTCCAATTCTTAAGGGCACAACAATCTTGGCCAAACCTTTCAGAGAATTAAAAATTAATTTAAATTCGAGGTCAGTGCCAGCATTTAGCCATGAGACAGATGCCAGAGCTCCACCACTTCACCACAGGTTCCTCTCCCACACCTCTCTCCAGCCACCCCCACGGGGCGTCACCTGTGGTAACACATTCACTCACAGCCATCACAGCATGGAGCTGCATTAATACTCCATTAATATTCCCAATATTCATTAGTGAATGGATATTGTACAGCAGCACTTGCCTTCCCCTGTGGGACACCATTGGACGTGCTCTGTAATCCCACAGCCCTGATGCTCCCGTCGGGAACGTCCAACGCCTGCCGCTCCTCCTGGGGATCACCTCGTGCTTTACTCCTTTCCTTTCCCTTCTCCAGTTTGAAGATCCTGTCAAAGAAGGTCACTGGTTTTGGCTTTGAGGTGGCCACATCCTCTCCCTCAGGTGACACTGTGAGCTCGATGTCCTGCAGCGGTGCCCGGCTCAGGTTTTTATCGGAGCCTTCCTCTGGCACAGCTGCCCCAGGAACCTCTGCCCCCTCACTCAGGGCTTTGTTCCCGCTGGGGGACACAGGGCTGACATCAAGTTTCGCCGGTCCAAGCGATGAATCCGTCGCTGGATCTTCAGTACGCCCTGGTACAGCCCACGAGAAGGCGAGCACAGAGCGGGGTTTCGCAGCTGGCCCAGCTCTCCTGGCAGCGCTCCCGAGGCTCTGCCCGCCCGCCTCGGCAGCGGGGCCCTGCTCCATTGTCTTCGGGGAAGAAACGGCCACATTATCCCGGGCAACACTCGCCTTTGCATCCACTACAAACAGAAGGATAGAACGGGAATTATCCGGCACAGCCAAGGAGTTGTACTGGCTGTACAATTAATCACGGCGCTTTAATGAATGGGGTCTGAAACGCAGGGCCTCGGGGAGGAGCACACAGGGGGCAGCTCACCTGGGACCCTCTGCCTTCCCATGCTAAATACGAGCTTCTGCTCATCCATCACACCTGCCTGGCTGATTTTCTTTCCTGCCACTCCTCGTTCAAGTCAGTGCAAATTATACACCTCCTCCACACCCCCCTCTCAGCTGCCAAAGTCAGATAACAACCCACATTTTTACTGCTTAGCCCAGTGGACCTCACAGTAAAATTACATTAAAATTAGCAATATGCGAAAAACCCCCACTCAATAAAACTTGAGAGGGTCATATACCAATATATTACACTTTCCTCTGCCAAAGCTAAAGAGGAAAAAAAGAATGGAAACCATAAGGACTGGTCCTGTTTCCTGGCTGGCCAAATTCCCCAGGGGGCTTTGCAGTCATGACTTATTTCATTCATTTTTCCAGCACTGTTCCTTGCCTTGCTGCCCACTCTTCACAGTGCAGTTTCTACTTGCACTTCTCTATAGCCTGTAGGTTATTTTAAGCCTGATTTAAATACTTATAAATCACATCCAAGCCATGCTTCTTATCCTTATGTTTCTGACTCTTTTTACCCACCAACAGTATGGATGGATCACATTTCCCCCACCAAAATTCTCACAAATCATTCCCCCTTGTGTACACACAGGGACATCACACTTTAGATGTGCAATATCTTTCACCTTAAAAGTATATTTTATAATACAAGGGCACTTTCATAATACAGCTGAGGTGAAAATCCCTAGGACCAGATTTGCACAGGAGGAGATGGCTCCTGCTTTATAGAAGACAAGAGAAAAAAGAAAAATAATCTTTCTTGTATCTCTTTTGTGGTTGGGAGACTGAATCACAGATGATGTGGTGTGAAACCCCAGTACACAAGAGGAGGCTTGTCAAGAGGTAAACCTTGCACAGCTCCCCCTCAGCTCCAGCTCCTCTTCCCTCCTTTGACTAGAATATAGATCTGACTTCCCTGTCAATCATCAGCACAGATTTCAGGGATGAATTTAGATCTACTTAATTATAACTGTGAAAACTGACAGCCTCAAAGTGACTTGCTAAATTAGAATGTGAAAATTGTCAGTTTCAATGAAAAACTGAAATTATTTCAAATTATAATTGTAATAGTCTAGTCAATATTATGCCTTTCACATTTTACTTTAAGAGAAATAAAATCCCAGATACCAACAAAACCTGACTGAAACACCTGTCTTCCACATACAGCACAGACCTTTGGAGTTCAGCTGCATTTGTTAAAGTCTTTTTTAAGATCAGGCAAGCAGAGTGTTTTTAGACCACAGATTTCAAAGCCACCTCTTAGCTTTTCACACCAAAAGTACCCCAACTTCCCGCCTCCCCCAAAGATTTTGTATAACACCACCCAAGCATCAGCAGGTACTGTACAATGTGTCTGTATGTGATACTGTCCCTCTGTGGCAGTGCCAGAAACCCTGGATATGCTCTTGGTCACATCCCTGGGCAAACCCAGGAGAACAAAGCTCCAACCCCCAGCCCTTCCCTGTGGCCTTAACTTGGTGACCTGCTGGACAGTCCTGCTTCACACTTGTTGGTCCTGACTAGCAGGGGCTAAGAGCTTCCATAAACCCAAGAACCATGGAATGGTTTGGTTTGGAAGGGACCTTAGAGGTAATCTCATTCTACCCCCTGCCATGGGCAGGGACACCTTCCACTAGCCCAGGTTGCTCCAAGCCATGTCCAACCCAGCCTTGGACACTGCCAGGGATGGGGCAGCCACAGCTTCTCTGGGCAACCTGTGCCAGGGCCTCCCCACCCTCACAGGGAACAATTTCTTCCTAATATCCAATCCAACCCTACTATCTCAGTTTGAAGCCATTCCCCTTGTCCTGTCCCTCCAGGGCCTTGGAAATAGTCTCTCTCCATCTTTCCTGGAGTTCCTTCAGGTACTGGAAGGCCACAGTTAGGTCACCCCAAAGTTTCTCCTCTCCAGGCTGAACAATCCCAATTGTCTCAGCCTTTCCTCCCAGCAGAGCTGCTCCATCCCTCTGGTCATCCTGGTGCCTCCTCTGGCCTCACTCCAACAGCTCCATGTCCTTTCTGTGTTGGGACCCCAGAGCTCGAGGCAGCTCTGCAGGAAGGGTGTGACCAGAGTGTGACAGCACAAACCTCAAAGAACTTGACCAAAATCCTTGCCAGCAGTGGAGGCAGCAGCTGACAGAGTCAGGGCTGTGGTGTCAGGAGTCACAGCTGCCACCAGCACCTGACAGCTGCTGGGACCTGGCTCCTGACTCCTCTACTTCCAACATTTTTTAACGTGCTCTTTGCCTTCTCATTGTGTTTGAGGTCAAGGCAGAGTGGCCACAGTGCCTCAGCACAACCTGTTCTGGTCAGGGACAGAGATTTTCGCCTTCTGTGCACACTGAGAAAGTTTCTTTCCCTGGATTCTCTCTGCCATTATTCATGTGAGAAAATAACTTCCATTGGCAAGAATCCTTGGCCAGCAATATTCTTCTGCAATATTTCATGAGCACCTATTTCAATGTACTGACATGCAAAGCAAAGGTACAAATTAGCAGCTACTCAACCACCTATTCAGCTACTCAGCTGGGGCCACTAAGGATCAGTTATATTTTCCTAAGCCCCCTGTAGTAATGTATGAAAAAGAACCGAAGCACTAATCTCTAATTATACTTGGAAACTTGGGAAGGAAGCAAAAAGCAAATCCTTTCCCAGCTAAAGAAAGGAGAAACAATATCCATTGGAAAATAATTGTAATAGATCCTGAACTTCTGCTTTATGTAACAGATAACAAATGAAACACAGGAAAACTGTCTTCAGTATAAAAATAGGAGTATAAGCTCATCATTAAGCAAACCAACTAAACAAGAAGTAGCTCATGAACCTATCAAGTTCCTTTTATCTCTAATTATCATGGAAGGAATGAAAGACCTGGAAAATATCACTGGCTTGAGCTCTGCTGTGTCTCTTGTGTCAGGACAGTTCAAACTGTTTCAGGGAAAGTCTGCTCAGGCACAGGCAAAGCAGATCCCACCACCAGTGAGGAGAGAGTGCTGTGCTGGGCTGCACAGAGGAGTCTCACTCATGCCCCAGTCACAGCAAACTGCAAGAGAAAAGCTTTGAACAGCAGTATTTGGATGAAAAGTGCATGATATTCTTGTTTTTAGAGAGACAGAAGTGTCATTCTTTCAAAAAATTATTTCCCACTCCAGAGGTAGAATTAGGAAGAGAAGAAAAACCTCCCAGATTTTAGGCCAGGTCTGCAAGTAGATCAAAGCAGTTCTTTTGAATGAGATTAAAAGCTGCTCTGAAATGAAAATCAATACACAATTTACAGCACTGCTGTGAGTCTGCATTTCCTGCTACTACTACACAGGCATTTTCCTTTCAAGTGTTTAACAAAAGACAGTCACACTGCACAAGATTTGTCTTGCTTTTCCCTTCACTTCATCAGGATATGCTAAAAAGGAAACACCACGACTGCGCAAATCTCCTCTTCTGGAAGTTCACAAGGATATTTTTTCTGAAATTTGGTAGATTAGACCAACATTTTTCCCTCAATTTGAGAAAAACTGCACAGAGTAATGGTTTGTGCAATGTTCTAAGATCATGGAATGGCTTGGAAGGGATATTAAAGGCCATCTCGTTCCAACCCCCTGCCATGGGCGGGGACACCTTCCATTATCCCAGATTGCTCCAAGCCCTGCCCAACCTGGCCTTGGACACTTCCAGGGATGGGGCAGCCACAGCTTCTCTGGGCAACCTGTGCCAGGGCCTCCCCACCCTCAGAGCCAAGAATTCCTTCCCAATATCCCACCTAACCCTGCTCTCTGTCAGTGTGAAGTCATTCCCTCTTGTCCTGTCACTCCAGGCCCTTGTAAACAATCTCTCTCCATCTTTCCAGCCACCAGCACATGAACACGCCATAAAATAAATCCTAGGAGAAACACTTGCTAATGCTGTTGCTTTTGACAATAGAAAGAGTCAGGGCTCTTTGGAAGTCAAACAGAGCCAACCATAAGCTACAAATAAGTTTTTGGTATCTTGGACTATTTTGAATACAATCCAGTTACAAAGAGATATTTTGCTCAGCAATGGAATTATAGTAACAGGGCATTTTTTTCTTCCCTGGAGTTCAGCTAATCATGGGGAAAATAGATTGTAATGGCCCTGAAGGAACCAGCAAGGGCTACAAGGCAACATTTGGCACCAACAATTCCATCAGTGTAGGCCAGCACAATGGGCTATAACAGCCCTGAATGAATTACTGCACAAATACTAGGCTTAAAAATCAAAATACCCAGCAACAATGAGCGAATTTTTACATTTACATTTCTCATAGATTTTTATAGATATTTGGTAGGCTCATTTTTCCTTCTGTTATTTAGCATTGAACAGCATCATAATGCTACAGCAGACGCAGAATTTCCGTATCTCCAAGTATACTTTGTGTTGACATAAAAGACCTCAAAAACCATTGTGACAAGGTTAAAATGACTGATTTTTCAGGTGCACTATAGAAGTGTAAAATGAGACATTTCCCCCCTTTCTTAAAGAAAGAACATACTAATATTCTTTTGCAGTCTTGCTCCACTGTTCCATGCAAAAAAGTTGACAGCACACTTATACTCCAAAAATAATTTGGTTTTACTAAGTTAACTGCCATCATTATTTACCTAACAGATTTACTGAAATTAATGGAAATTGGGGCAGAGAAGCCAGCAGCAAGAATAATGATGATCATTCTTTGAAAAAATACCTAAAAGGCAACATGTTTCAGGCCTTACAGGCACACAGAGCTCTTGCAATACATAATTTCTGTTAGATGCTAAGTAGGAGCAGAATTTGCTGAATGAGATTTATCCTCTGGGACAAAGAAGTTGCATCTTCACTAAACCTTCCTTACCTTGTAATGTTTGTAATTCCTTTGTGCTTTTTGTGAGCAGGTCATTGTTTTGATCTGCATGTAATTACCACCCTAACAGAGGCAAAGTTGTTCTCATTGTGTTCTCCTGCTCCATGTTGTGGAAATCAGAGATACAGCTTCTAGTTCTGGACTTCTTCCCTTTACCTGTTGCTCACCAAGTACTTATATTACTTAAAGTACTTAAAGGCCAGCACAGAACATTAGGAAAAGTCAGGATTAACTCTGCTTTCCTCGAGCCTGCAGAGCAACAAGTCCTGCAGGGGCAGTGAGGGCACTGCTGCTGTTGGAATGGCATTGTGGGGGGAGAAGGTGCATCTCCCTCCTCTGTGCAGTGTCTGCAGCCCTGACAATCAGTAGGAGCAGGAAAGGCGAGTCATAGAAAGAATCCCTGAGCCCACACAGCTGTCAGGCTGTTTGAGCAGAAGCAGCAAACGTAGGGACCCAGCCCCAATCTGCTGCCCCAGATGTGAAGCAGATGCTGACGGGGCTCTTCCAAGTAACGTTCCTTCCTCTGGTCATGTGGAGTTAAACTCCCTGGATTCCTTTGCCATTATATTAACAGATAGAGATTTCATACCCTCATTTATCAGCTGTACCCCCTAATGCACAGCACATGGGCAGATCTCTGGCAATCACAGGAATGCAAACTAACAGGACAAAGAGCACAAGCCCCTAGCTAACACTTCTCATTAAATCCTTGTGCTTCAATTGCCTTTTTTAAGCCTTTGTCTTCCCCAAAAATGCTCACTTTATGCCATAAAATACACTATACTACTATTTACTGTATCACTTCATTTTACAAATACTATCAATTATGTTTTCCATAGTAATAATTTCTGTCTCCAAACAGCACTTGCACTTTTATTCCACCAAGACCTTGATTATATTGCACAAACCAGTGAGATTCCAGTGGTATCTAAACAGTTAATGAATTTAACTGCTTTTTAAACATAAATAAAATTAAAATACAAGTAGTATCAACATAGGACGGTCTAATTTTTCAACTTGCTACTTAAACTGATTTAGTAATTACATTAATTAGGTAATGCATTTAAGTAAAACAATCCCATATGCTTCATTTTATGTTTTAAGGGTAAAATGTACATGCATTTTTTAGGTCTTCAGACAGTGTAAATCATCTGGCTTTTATTTACTTCCCAGAACTTTGCTAGTTTACACCAGCAGAAACACGCAGATAAAGGCTTTGCTTTTCTAGTAGGAAACTGTTTAAACTGCCTTATAGTGAGATGGGATTAGGAAATTAGCCATGGAACAGAGATTCTGAGCTGTAATCAGTGCCATCTGCATATCACCAGAACAGGCTGATTATTTTTGTCTAAACTTAGATTTTTCAAGCGTGTGTAACAGGCTGAGAGGGTTCTCTTAATAATGAATAATAAAGTATTTTTCTTAGCAATGAATTATAAAGTATTTTCTTTCCTCACACAGATTTAAGAGAATTGTTGGGTTTTATCATGTTCTGAAAACAGGAAGAAATCCAATGCAAAGGAAATACTGGTAAGATGAACATGGCTGAACCTGCAGAGCTGTGAACAGGAGCATTGCTGCTCCCTGAGTGCTGCTCACAAAGGCTCCAAAGCCAACAAGGGCTGGAAAAGCAAATTAACGAGGTACTGACAAGCAAGAAGACACACATGTCTTTGGATGAGAGCAACTGCCCATGAATATGTGGAGATAACTTTTCAAAACTACTTGGAAACAAATTTTGAATGCTCAGGCCATGTAGTTCACCCCAGGTTTTTGAGATGTCAGCCCTGGAAGTGGGGCTTCCCTTTCCGGGGACAGCTCAGGGTCCAGCCTGCCCTGCTGTGATCCCTTGAAAACCTGTTCCCATCCCATAGGACCCCTCCCACACAGGGCTGAAATGGGATGCACTCACTGAGCCCTCACCAACTATTCAGCTGCTACACTCACAGTTTGTATGCAACAGGGACACAGATTTTATTTTATTACTGTGAGGGAAAGAATAAACTACTGTGCTACACCCTACCTTATCTAGAATTCAAACACAGGCAGCTGACACAGTTAAATGTATTTCATGAAGTTCTCACTGCTGATTTTAGCTGTTCCCTGCTCTCTTCAGGAAGGTCTGCTACCTCTACAAGGAGAGCAAGGCAGGTTTCTGTACATTAAATATTCACTAAGACCCATTCTCACACTCAGAAAAGGGCACTGCAACTGCCAAGGCTCAGGGCCAGAGGCAATTCTGATATAACAACATCACTGCAGGTATAATGCCTGCCACCTTACAGTACTTTTCCCAAGAAATCACAATTTTAAAATGACAAACAAGACAGAAAAAGATATTCCCATACAGATTTAATTGTTGACAAAGAACTGCTTGGCATCTTTGAAGGCAAAGCAATGCAGCTACTCAAGAACACAGGACTAAAAAAATAGAGAACAAGAGGTTTAAATGAACAAGAGGGAGTCAAATTTCTATCATTTCAGTCACTGGAAATTGCTACTGAAAGGATCAGAAATATGGTTTCACATAAAAAGGCAGAGATGGTTTCTAAGACTTTACAACTCTATGGATGAGAACATGTAGCCAGGACATGGACTTTTTTGCTCTCCCTTCCAACACGTGACCTACTCTCTTTGCAGGCTGCAAAACATTCCCTTGTGTGCCCCCCAAACACAAATCCTCACTAACAGGCCATTGATCCCCTTGTACTGGTGCCACTGCTGCATTACACCCTCCGAAGAGCCCAGATCTGGGCTCCTTGCAGCAACAATTCCTCCAGGGCTCCTTGGAGACACAAGTTCCTCCAGAGCCCAAGCACAGGTAGTTTATCACAAACCCTGAGGTTTGAGCAGCAGCACAGAAAGGTCCAGCACCAAACCACTCCTGCATTATGACACTTCACATTAACCAAACTCTTCACACTCAATGAACCCACTTCTTGTGGGCCAGCAAATTCCTACAACTATTAAACAGCTTCCAGAGGACTTCAGAAGTGTTTTCTTGTTTTACTCTTTGTTATCTTGAAACTTTCAAGCTTCTGTAAAATACTGATTCACAAGAGCTCATCTTCTATGAAACTATGCCCCAATATTTATTGTTGCCCAGGGATAAACCTCTGTCTCATGGGAAAAGAAGGGCAAATGGACTTTTCCCTGTACATACCTTCACCATTCATTGCTGGAGAATGATTCTGAGCAAATACAGCAGATCCATTTTTAACAGTGTCAGGAGATTCAGAGAGAGCCTGAAAGATCAAATATTACAATTTTTGGGACTTGTACATCACAGGGTTTAAAGACTGCAATAGGAAGTAACCAGGGAAGATGAGAGTGGGCAGCTCTCCCTTACCTGGTAGCTCTTCACTGTGCAGGTATTGTCCTCCTCAGCTTCCTCTGGGACACTCAGTGTATTCCCCATAGTTCCTGTCAGGTGGAGGGAAAAATCCAAATAACCTTTTCTTCCTCATTAATATGAACTTGCTGCCTGGTTCCAATTAAGAGACAGCCAATGGGGACAGACAGGCTGTTGAGGTCCCTAAAGAGCCCCACCTGCCCCATCATCAGGCTGCACCAACCAGTCTTACCCCAAGCCCATTATCCTCAGGGCTCACAAGTGCTCACAGAAAATGGTACAAACCAACAAACTTTTCTTGTTTGTTGAGGAAAACTGGCTGCAATCACACCTGCATCATTCATTAGGGCTCAGGAGAGAGCAACGTGGAGTTAGCAGCAGAAAAACACTTAAATCTGTGAATAAATTACAACAGCTTGTATGCTTTTGTTTGGTTTTCATTTAAAAAATGCAGAAAGAAAGGAGGCAGCATGTAAAGGCATCGCCCATGTAAACTCTGAATTGCAGTCTCTTTCCTGTGTACAAGAGGACATAACCTTCTGGTTTTTTTGTTTTATTTTCCTTTCCCCATAATTTAGAATACATTTATGTGCCCTCTGAGCTGTCTGTGCTTTAGGACTGTAGATTCTTTGGGGCCTGTAATGTGGTGGAGGGGCAAAGGAATCCGAAGTCAAGAGGGAAGTTCCTATTAGACTTTGGCTCAGGATATAGATGTGTGCATACTGATAAATAAATAAACAGTGAAGAGAAAGTATTCTGAGCCACACCTTGAGACAGGAAGGTGTCCAGAGAGAGGAAGGTAGAGAAGGGAGAGCTGTACTCATCCTTTTGGATGTCCTGCACAGCCCCCATGGGTACCAAGTGCCTTCTGCTTTGTTATTGCTCTGTTTTCTACCTGCATGAGTCAGTGAAGCTGCAGAGGCATGGATGAGAACAACTCCTTTAATGAAATTAAATTTTAATCAAACAACCTGTAGCTATTGGATAAAAGAAGGAAAACAGTAGCTTTGCTAAATGATGTTCACTCGAATTGGAATGTGCTGCTTCCAGTTACTGTTTGCTGAGCTCAAGCTCAGGGTGCAGAGGCATTTTACAGGAGTTTTATCTCCTCAGCTGATATTTCCAGTATAAATCAGAAGTTCTGATTTGTTGTGGAAAACAGCCAGAGCTTCCCTGTGGATGTACAATGGCCTCTTGTCCCTGCTCTGTAATTCTGTTTCCTAGCAACTTTAAACATTATTCTATTGGAAGAGAAGAAAACAAGATTCAAATCCTACTGCTTAGTCTCGATGATAAATTTAGTATCTGGTTGAATCTGGAGGATTTACTTTTGTTTTCCATTCACAAGGCCTGGTTTATGCCAGGAGACAACTTAAGCAAAAGATGGAATGTTTGCAGGTTTGCTTCCTTTTTAACATGAACTGTCAAATCATTTTGTATCTGTGGGGAGAGAGAGAAGCAAATTCCTCTCTTTCTTTTTTATTTCAACAATGATTCGTATCTTGATTCTCAGCCACTCCAATTTCCTGTTGTTGCAGGTCTACTCACATCAAGTAAGTTATCTTTAAATGATACAGAGCAGAGATCACAGGCTCTGAGCTCTGGCAGAGCTCTAGGAAAATTTACCCATTTTCTAAAATCAAGTTTATAATTCTCACTGAAATAAAACACACACAGTGGTCATGTGGAATTTTAGAATATTTTCACTCACCAGAACTCTCTCTCATAGAAAGCTGGATAGGTATTGGAGGCTTTATTTTTCCAAAAACTGGGTAAACTTGCTGGATTACCCTTTCAGAATATGATCCCAAAACACCAAACACAGTTTTCCACAGATACAGAATCAAGGAATAGAGAAGCTGTGGCTGCCCCATCCCTGGAAGTGTCCAAGGCCAGGTTGAAGCAACCTGGTCCAGGGAAGGTGTCCCTGCCCATGGCAGGGGGGTAGAATGAGATGATCTTTAAGGTCCCTTCCAACCCAACTCATTCTGTGATCCTATGACATATATATGTACATAATGCTTCTGCCCAATTTTAAGGAGAAAATGACAGGTCACTGCCACCTACAGACAAATCTGAGCATCAGCAGAAATTATTATATAAACATACAAAATGATATCAAACCAGCAGAGTTTCAAGTTGCCAAGCAAGTAATGTCACAGCTCTTCCCTTCTGCCACCACGTCTCAAAATTGCTGCTGCAGAGACTGTTGCAGCTCATTGCACATGTGGGGCTCTAGAGCTGAGTAAATGGGAGGAAATTCTTAAATGTGAAGCCAAAGAGGTTTTCTGAAAAATAAAGGGCACTCACTGTGTGTTTATGAACCAAAGAATCACAGAATATTGGGGCTGGAAAGGACCTCTGGAGATCCCCCAGTCCAACCCCAGTGGGAGTTGGACTCCCTGCCTGGGCAGGGTCACCCAGAGCAGGTGACACAGGGACATGTCCTGGCGGGTTTGGAATGTCTCCAGAGAGGGAGAACCCACACCCTCCCTGGGCAGCTGTTCCAGGGCTCTGCCACCTCCATGGGAAGAAGTTCTTCCTCATGCTGAGGTGGAACTTGTTGTGTTTTATTTTCTGGCCATTCCAGAAGGTGCTGAGGGCTCCCAGTGTGCAGGAACCTGCCTGAGGACCGGGAGCCTGTGGAAGCTCTCAGGATGTGGCCATGAGTTTGTTCCCAGTGAGCAGACTCAGACATTGTCAAGCACTGAGCACATCTGTCCAGCTGTGAGCCCAACACCACCCTCAGGGTGCTCACTTGGCCTCTCCTATGGGTGTCTAAGTTATTAATCATATTTCTTAGCAGTACAATCACCAGGAAAGACTTATTTGTGCCCTTTGTTCCATGCTTGAGAAGCACAAAACTGGTCTCTGTAGCAAGCTGTGAGTACAGAGAAAACCTCCACCAGACCTGGGAGTCTGTGAGAGAAGATTTGACAGCATTTACAGGGACAGGACAATTTTTGATGATTGAGAGGGAAAAGAGATGATGCTGAAGTAAGAAAATTCTTCAAAATGAGAAGAAAGCCCTTAGAAGTCAAGAGGAGCAGGAGTAAGCTCATTCTCATCCTTAGGCTTCCTTTCTAGAAACAGATTTTTTTCACTGAGTTTCAAGGATATTATCCTCCTGGGGGGCTCCTTCAGGCCAGGTGGAATGCAGCCCAACTGGTTTAAAAGGGAACATGAACTACCAGCCTCTACATCAGACACAGCTCTGAAACAGTTCCTTTCACCACTTATGCTTCACTGCTTCTATTGTAATGCAGAAAACAATACGAAAGAAAAATGTATCTTAAATTTTTTGTTTGTGTTGTATGAAGCATTATGTGCCTAAGCAGAAGTTCAAGGCTTGGGAAAATTCTCCTCTTTTTTTCCTCTTTCTCAAAAATCATTGTTTTGGTGCTGGCAGAGTGGTAAAAGATTTGAAAACTCTTAGAAAAAACTCCAACAAAACCTGTGATCTTCTGTGTACTCTGGCTAAAGCCAGCTGAGCCTGACCTTTCTAATGTAATGGCCGAGCTGCAATACCACAATCACCTGTGTCACAGTGTCTATTAACTTGCCATATGTTGTACTTAAATGTCAGAAAGAATGATCAACTTTCCTTCCTCTTGGAACCCAGGTGAGCACCGAGACAGGTCCCTGTCCAGGTAGGAAGGCAGAAGCTCCTGCTCTGATTCATGTGGAACCAAGAAAGGACTGATATTAGGATAGAGTTTTAGAGAGACTCCTTACCTTCCCTCAGTGCCGCTCTCAGTTGCTGTCCTGCAGGAACAGACACCTCAGACACGTGCTGGGTGTGATGAAACCAGGGGCCAAGTGCATCTGAGCCCTGTCAGTGGCTGGGGAGGAGGAATGGACACACAATAGACAGCAGTGAAGGGACAGGAGAAGGAAGGGTTGAGCTGACTCACCTACAGCAAACAAGAAACACCCAAGAACAACTTGAATAGCAGCCTGGCAGCTGCCTGTGCATCCAGGGCATGTAGAATCACACTCCTTAAGGCTCTAGGGGCAGTTTTTAATACAGTTCTTTCAGCCACTCTGCACTGGAGCCAAATGGGAAAAAGCAAAACAGTTCAAGCATTCACACCTGGGCTTTCAGGGAGAGAACAGTTCAACAATGCCACAAGGTGAACAATCCCAGCCTGGCTGGTCTTTGTATTCTTGTGTCCTTTTGCAGAAAAAGTCAATACATTGCAAGGGGAAAGTTACAGCAGGTGCTTTAAAGCACAAACAAGAGAAGCCAAGCAGGAAATCCCAGGATCATTCAGCAGGAGAGCACAGGCAGAGCTGCTCAAGCAGAGGAGGAAGAGCAAAAGCAAAACCCAAGAAAAGCCAAACCAGCAGCAGCAGCAGGAGTTACCTGGGGAGGGTGGCTGGGACACCCTCTGGGAGCTGGAGCTGGTCCAGGTGAGGTGCTGCCCACCCAGCTCTGCCCCTGGCGAGGTGCTGCTCCTCCAGAGCTGGTCCAACTGAGGTGCTGCTGCCCCAGAGCTGCTCCAGCTGAGGTGCTGCTCCCCCAGCCCTGCCCCTGCCCTGCTGTGCCTCCACAATCAGCCCAGGGAGTGCTCACAAACACTGGGTGCAAACACAGCGAGGGTGGAGCAGCTCCGTCCACCTTCCCAGCCTTCTCCAAGTATTTTCTGTTCTTAGCACTTTGGCCACCCAAACCTGTTCCAAGGCACACCTGGATTCGTGGCTCTGGGGCAGCCTCTCATGGACACTCTGGTATTGGGAATTCTGACATGGTGTGGACACCTACAAACCCCTTCCAAACCCGGACTTTTCCCACCATGGCAGACAAAACCAAGGGCTTTTGATGACATGACTGTTTGCTGTAGTCAAAGTGGTTCTTAATATCCCTCCATAATGTGCAGACTGACTAAGTGTTGATATTTTAAACCCATTGTCACGATTTGCTGCTCCCTCAGGTGAGTCACTAAGCCCACACTCAGACTGGGGGTGTCTGGAGCAGGGAAAGGCTTTTTGTTCTGAGTTTTCACACCACCTCAGTCAATAAAATTTGGTTTTGAAAAGTGGGGTTCCCACAACCTGTCGTAATA